TTATAACTAACTTTTAGAAGAATGTGGAAATTACTGTGTTTGCAACTAGCTCCTTCATGTATGAATATTTAATTATATTTGTTATGAAACTTTTATAATTTTGTAACACTTTTTGTATTATTGTTTGAGATTGACATTGAGGAATGTTAGAATCAGCACAGTTAAAAAGCTACAGTGCAACCATTTTATAAATGTGCTGATTGCATGGAGACCTCAGCAAACAAAGTCACGGATGCTGAGGAAATCAGGACAGGGTGGTTGGTAGAATCACTGAAGAGGGAAGGTGGCTTTTCACTACCGGAAAGATTATTAATTGTACTCACGTTACAGTAAATGCTGGAGCTGCTCATTCTCGGCTCTGAAGCAGTCATGACATCTTCTAAACAATTTATGGTTCACTTGGAAAGTGGATGCCCTGTGGTATTGCAGAGATCTGTTCATGTATGTTGTGCCTAATTTCTTTCATGAGGGGATTTGTCACGTATGTGCAACCTTTCAAGAATCCCCACAGAAAGAAATCGCATCGTGCTGACACGATGCGATCAACAGACCGTTTTGACAACAAACCACGTGTGATAATTGTCTCCATAAACGGCAAGTGAAGTCCTTAAGGAAACGGAAGCAATGTGTGCAATTGTGGAGTCCTGTTGAAAATTACCATCTTGCATTTATTTTCATGTTGAAAATACTTTTCATTTGTCAACATTTGGAAGAAAGGCTTCAGGATACAATGCACATAATGGTTTGACATGTCGTACAAATGTGTCATACACAATCACTTTGTGTTTGAGAGTGAACTTTGAGTGAGCCATCACAAATCTACTATTCAAAAGGCCAAAGTGTGCCTTTTGCAGGGTGAGACCTTCAAATCCTCCCATCCACAACGTTCCCAGGGGAGTTCAGCGCACAGTTCCCCTGCGAGTGATGGCCTGTCAGTAGAGCAGAATTTTCCTGAATCGTGGCACACTAATAAAATAGTTGCACTGTATTTTCTTTGATAATTAGTATTACTTTAAAAATTTAATTCAATAATAAATTTTGTTTGTGTAAACTCTAGTAATTTACATTTTTTCCCTTCATACTATTTACTCACTATTTTTGGTCAACAAAAATCTCTTACTATTTTTAACTTAAATGCTGAGAGGCCTGCAATTAGAAAACGAAGTTTAAAAAAATCCTTAATGCCTGTCAATTTCAGTCAGTAAATGTGAATTGTTGTCTTCAAACCTTAATTTCTGTCTTCTTATCTCTGTTAGGTATGCTCGGAAACCTGCCGCGTTGAGAAATAAAACTGCTGCCAGCATGACAAGAGAATGGACTGAACAAGAAACTCTGTTGTTGCTGGAGGGCCTAGAGCTCTATAAAGATGATTGGAATAAAGTGTGTGAGCATGTTGGGAGCCGCACTCAAGATGAGTGCATTCTTCATTTCTTGCGTTTACCTATTGAAGACCCATATTTAGAAGATCATGAAGCAGGTAAATTCTTTTGTAGATTTCATGTGTCCTGAATATGCTTTCTCAGTGTCTAAAGACTTTGCTAATTTTTACATTTTATTAGTTGTCTTTATATTATCATTTTAGGACATACTGATTTTGAAAAAAAATCATTTTTGAATTCCACAGTTCTTCAGATTTTTCCAGTTTTTGCAGATTTGTCTGAATTTCCTGAACATATGAAAGTAATCATCATGATATACTACAGGTTGCTAGGTGTGTCGCCAGTTCCTGTTTCCCAGTACATCTGGTGTCTTTTTGGTCCTCCCAAGTGTTCCTGGTCTAACCATTTCTTCTTGGTGTTCCCACTTCTCTTCTCCGTAAATGTTTTGTCCTTCAGTGCCATCTTAAGAAATCTTTCCTGCTTCATTCAGATGATATGCGAGAACTGTTTCTTTTGAATTTCCTAAATTTCTTTTACTAAATTCTTTGTTTTAAGCCTTTCGCTAATTCCTTTACTTCTTTGCTAATCCATTAACATGATTCCGACAAGGTGGCGTATTCCACTGGTTGTTTTTGCAGTTTTATTTCTTCGAAAATCTCAAGGACCAATGCCTTTGACATGCTGTATCTAGTTTTGAATTGAGCATCATCCAATTCATAAAATTTATTTTGTATAGTGATGCTTGTCCTGGACTCGTGGTTTCTAAATATTCAATATAGAAAAGTTAAGCATCAGAATTATCCCCCGTATCAGACCATACAACTGGAACTGCAAAAGAGTCAAATAAGTCATTGAAATGCAATTCACGTGCTTTATAAACCCGAAGATTACAACACAAGTTTAAGGAGTCATCATAGTTTGACCGGTTTGTCAAACTTGGACAAATGTTTTGATGATCGTCACTCGAAATGATCTTGATGAAACATAAAAATGGTGTTTAAGGAGCCGTCGGTAGTTTTGCGTCCGTCAAAACTACTGATCGTGGGTGAAATCGACCGTTAGTGTTTCACTCCACCTAAGAACATCCTCTTCTCTGATACATTTTCTTCTTATCGCGCCCTTTTACGCGGCCTCCGATTCTGTAACAATCGTTAACTTTGGGTGTTAATCCTTGTAATAAATCGACGTCGCCAAGAACGGTAAACGAAAGAGAAGAACAAGGCATTATTTTCGTACTTCAAATGAGAACGGCACGATTTAATTAATTAAACAAGTATTTGGGTATAAAATGCCTTGGAATGGCTCATGGGTGCTTTATGTTCATCCGAAGACTGGCCCCGTCATGAAATCGGACACGCGTAGCGAAGGGTCAACTCGCCTGAAGCATTTGAGGTCGTAAGTACGTCACCATAACACTTGCATGCGCAAGTTGTCGTTCGCCATATTGTCACGAAAAGGAGTCGATTCCTTAACGTTCGGTACGATATGGGAGAAGATCCTTAAATTTAAATTTAAATTAAAATTCGAATTCGAATCATTTCAATTCCCATGGCCGAGTTGTGAACTGTAACTGAGATTGTTGTAACTGACTGTCAATTTTCGTTCCACGGGTGACGCGAGAGAGAAAGGTAAAGTGACTAAAGTTTGTGAATTGGGCTAAGGAAGCATATTTTTTTAATATTCCGTCTGCCCGTAGATGTAGAATTCTTACTTCTCTCAATGCGAATTTTTTCGTCGCATTGATCATTTGCAAAACGCCGTTTCGCTCACGCCAGCCCGAAACCAGACTGCGCGACCTCGTAGATCCGAGTCTGTAAATCGTGAAATAAATCCTCGGTAAAAAATGTTTTTTTAAATTTGCGCCTTGCGTTTCGCCGACTACAAAGGCATTGATTTGATATATTCGCTTTATTGGCCCATTAAAAATATTGGTCTGAATCGCCTGGCAAATCCGCGGTAGTTACCGAGAATACGCCCGCGAATATAATTTATAATAGACACGCGTGGTATTTGTCGCTGCTGTATATTATATCATCAGCATTAAAGTTTCTTAGCTTTAATCCCCAAATGACCCCGTGTTTTCGAATGATATATTTAAGATAACATCTCATCTTACACTGGTATAAAAACGATAAATCCCATTTCCTATGTTTGAAATTGTAACCATTACAATTGTTGTTGCTTTAATTTGTAGGTGGAGGTGCTCTGGGTCCTTTGGCATATCAACCAATTCCATTTAGTAAAGCGGGGAATCCGATAATGTCAACGGTTGCTTTTCTTGCATCGGTTGTGGACCCTCGTGTTGCTGCTTCTGCTGCCAAAGCAGCTATGGAAGAATTTGCTAGTATTAAGGTAGACTTTTTTTCAGTCTGTTTCTTTTAATCCTTGGGGGTTATGTCTTAATTATTGAAATTTATTCCCAGGATGAAGTTCCTGCTGCATTGATGGATGCTCATGTAAAAAATGTGGAAGCATCTTCCACAGAAGGAAAATTTGATCCATCTGCAGGACTTGCTCAGGTATGTGATATTAATGGAAGTGATCTTCAGAGTAGGTTGTTTGGGGCTGCATTAAACACATAAATAACAGATTATGGAGTAAGCATTACTAATAGGATTTCTATTAACCCTTTCACTGTTCATCTCTGTATACTGTTTGTATGACCACTTGTTCACTCATCGGCTGGGCATGGTTGTTCTGTACTGAGTACTTTGTGCTGATGTGTGTTGTCAGCGGCCGAGATATAGTAATTTATTTTACAAATTTCCCCATAATTTTTTTTTACAAAAGTTCCTTGCTAGATAATGGTGATTGCCCTTTCATACTAATCATGATATATGTTAATTTAAAAGTAGACAGAGACAAAATCCATAAAAGCCATTCCAAATATTAAGTCTATGTTGATGTAAGAATTGTATAGCAAATCAAATATGAATGAACGCAAAGACACAACAAAAATTAAATGAATGCCTGCCAAATATTTCCTTTAAAGGATGCACTTTTGGAGTAAGAACAAAATGGTTTATGAGAAATTCAAACCGTTTATTTTGAGAGACATGCCCTTGCCTCTCCTCAATGCAATGCTCTACTTAATGCAGGTATTGACAATGTCACAACTGTTTTGACTCCAAAAAATGACTGTTGCTCTACCTAATTGCAATGAAAGGCTTCCTTAGAACCTTAAGAGGTCCCAAGATGTCCCAGTCCAAGAAGAATAATGCCTGATCTTGAAATGAAAGAAATCAAACACCAGAGACTATATAAGTGTACGTTCGTAGCATGAGGGCACTGCCCATCGTGGACACACAAACATGTCCATAGTACATGGGGCATGGATGCATGGATCCAGTAGGACAAACTGTTCACAGCAGTGAAAGGGTTAATACTTATTATAAAATGTTATCAAAATATTGAACATAGCTCAAAATTCAAATTGTGCTAGTGAACTATTTCTATGCAAGAGGCCATAATGTTGTTCTTACTGCCTATAACTTTTTTCTGATGAGTAAAGTTATCAGAATACACTTTTTTATATTTGATAAGTGGTTTTATATTGAAGTCCTTTTAACTTATTATGGTACTTTATGCTCTGTTTTAATTCGATTGTGTTTTATTATTCAGAGTGGCATTGCGGGCACAGTGCCTGAGAAAGAAGATGAACCTAGTGAAAAGGAGAAGAAAGAAGGTGAAAAGGAAACTGAAGAAAAGCCTAGTGAATCTACAGAGGAAGCTCAGAAAAAAGAAACTGAAAAAACTGAACCAATGGAAGTAGATAAGAAAGAGGGAGAAGAAAAGGAAATAAAGGAGAATGGCGAAGAAGAAAAACAAGTACCCAAGCCAGCTGAAGTTAAAGATGAACAGAAGGAGGAAGAAGCGGTTCCATCAGAAACTGACTCAGAACGCATGGTCAAAGATGCACAGTTACAATCTGCTGCAGCTGCTGCTTTGGCTGCTGCTGCTGTCAAAGCCAAACATTTGGCTGCTGTGGAGGAAAGGAAAATAAAATCGTTGGTGGCACTTCTTGTGGAAACACAAATGAAAAAGTTGGAGATAAAATTAAGACATTTTGAAGAACTGGAAACCACAATGGAACGAGAAAGAGAAGGTTTGGAATACCAGCGCCAACAATTGATACAAGAACGTCAACAATTTCATTTGGAACAATTGAAAGCTGCTGAATTCCGTGCTCGACAGCAAGCTCAGCAGCGGTTTGCTTCAGAGCAAGGAGCTGCTTCTTGGGGACCAGCTTCAGGGCAGGCTGTACCACCACAAAGCACAGTGCCAAGCCCAGCTCCTCCAACGCCAGCCGCCTCCGCTTCTGGAGATCAAGGGGCTGGCCCTATCACACCGAGCACAACACCCACTCCACCTTCACCCCAAGCTGTTCCATCGTCATCATCATCATCATCTACGACAGTTCCTGCAGCTCCGGTTCCTCCATTGCATCCAACAGCTGCTAGTTCACCATCACCCGGACCACCCCAGCCATCCCCTCAGACACCTGCGTAATTGTAATGTAGCTGACAATATGGTGCAATTTTAAATAAGGGACTTGATGCATTTTCCATTTGTACGTTCATCTTATTCTGACAGCACGAAAAATTAAAATTTAGAGAAGCTTAGTATTGATTTTTATGAAATGTTTAGTATAAAATATGAATGTGAAGGAAAGTGTATGTTTTAATTTTATGAGGTGTGTTTTAGTTCCAAAATCTCATGTAATGTATTGATAAAATAGTAATAACTTAGTTTTAATTATAATAGTAATGCTGTAATAATATTGATTTTATATGTAATTTAATTGAATTCATGTGTATCTACAAATACTTGTAATGTTCTGAAAATGCTTTCGCTCCGTATATAAATATATATATACACATACGTTTTTTACTACCTAATAAAAATTGCTTAAATCGGATTATGGTACTGTTATTTTAATGATTTCCCCACTCTTTTTATTACTGTTGTTCAATTTAATTTGTTATTCTCAATTTTCACAGTATATTTTATTTGTGTATCCATCTCAAAATTTTTTGATTTGACTTATTTTGAACATTTTGTTGGATATATAAGCCATACAGTTTCTTTTCCTTTTTTATCACCAACTTCTTAAAGTTTTGTTTTACTGAAAGGCCTGTGTTGTTGTTTCTTTGCTCTTTACTTTCGTGGCACACAAAGTATCGTAGTGCTGCAGTGGAAAGAGGCGCTCTTCTGTCGGAAAAAACTCGTACTGTGGGGCCTAGATATGGAGAAAGTAAATGAATCTTGTTCCTATCTAGTAAACTACTTCCTCTAGCATAGGGCTACACCAAAGTAATTTGTACTTGTGCAAATTTATTGTTTGCTGCCCCTGTGTTCTAATGTTTTGAATTTTGTTATGTAGAGTTTCTTTAGCTTATAGGATGACTGTGAAGCCTTGTTGAAACACAGTAACTATGAGCATTAATATTAACCATTATTATACTTTTTCAAAATTGATGAACTATTTGAAATTTGTATTGTTCTTTGACCATAATTTAATACTTGAAGAGTTTTTATATTTGTGAATAACTTTTTTCATTTAAAATGAAAAAATTAAAAATAATGTGTATATTAAAAAATGTCTGTTTTTTGCTGCCATTGTGCGATGCACTGTTTGCACTAGGGTTGGTGCAGCCCTATTCTGACACTATCCAGAATCTGTGTTTTGTGTGTTTTTGATAACAAAAAAGTGTTTTACAACTAGATGCTCACACCTAAACTGTTCAGACTGTTTTCTCCAAAATAGGTATTCTGTGATTGATATGGCCAAACTCAAGATCATGTGAATTTGAAACATTTTGTTATTTTTATGGTATTTATCATAGCAACTTGACAAACTTTAACAATATCGTTGTGACAACTGTAAAGTATTGAATATTAAAAAGGCAGTTTCTTGTTATCTTTGTTTGGCGATTGCTTCAAAGGCAATAAGCACATTAGTGTACTGAATGTTTTACCTTATTAATTAAAAAGCTCTAAATTCCAGCTGTCAACTATTGAATATGGTGCTTAACTCTGATCTTTTTGATATGTTTGACTTGTTTGAGACTTGTAAAAGTAGTTGTTTTCGCAATTGATACTTAACATTTCTATATTTGCAAAATTTTCTCCTGTTTTTCATTGTCTCTGAACTTTCAAAAACTGCAGAAGTTCAAAAAATTTTTTGGCATGATCATGTAACTACAATATAGAAGTTGAGATACTTTTCCATAGTGAAATCTTTTCTGCAAAGACATCTTTAAATAAATTCATGTACAATTTTTCGAAAATATGAGTAGTTTTCACGTGATTGTGTGTGAATTATAGGCAATTAAAAAAATGTTCTGAAAAACTGCTGCTAATTTTTTTCTCATTAGAGCAAAGTGTATGTATAAAAATGGTGCAGGCTCTATTTTCGGTTAACTCTATTTTCATAAATTGCAAAACTGCAGTATCGATAATAGAATTTTTTTTCCTTTGTGAAATCTGTTCTGAAAGTAGTGGTACTACAAGAGTACTTACTTTCTTGCATTATTTCTAATTTTTGCGATTTTGGAAAATTCAATGAAATCAACGGAATGGATCAATGGAAAAAATGTTTTTTATAATTTGCATAAACTTCAAGAAGAAATTATGTGAAAGCTAGTTATATCAAACAATTGTACATGACCTTTTTTAAAATTTCATTTAAGAAAATTTGCATCTTCAAAATTGTAGTTTTCCAATTTTTGTAAATATTATGTGATTGCCGGAAATGGGGCTAGCACCACCTTTTTTTTGGCTGGTTGTTGATATAGACCAGAAAAAATAGAAAAAGGAAAAAATTGGAGCCATTTTTGAGAACAAAAAGTTTAAAAATTGTTAAAATGTCAGGCAACATGACCTGGAAACTACTAATATTTTCGAAAAATTGCCCATGGCGACTAACTTGCAGGGCCTTGAGTTCATCAAATTGATCGGGGGTTATAAATTTTGGGGAAAATCGTCTGAATGGTTTTAGCATTTGCTTTGACTTGACAGACAAACATTTTGCCCTCGGTCAATTTTTCTGTATCAAGGACACACAAAATTTTGATTCTGACAACGCAGTGTGTTAGAGGAAGTAATTTACTACAAATAGGAACGAAATTTATCCACACTTTAGTTCACAGGGCCCGGCAATAAGAGTTTTTCTGTTTGCAAAATCGCTGTTTTCCAGCGTGAGAAAGCAAAATTAGATCTTGAATTATGTCTAGTGCATTTTTTGAACATATGGTTTTTCATTTCATTTTTGCTTGTGGAGGCGATTTAAAAGGAAATATGTTTTCTTGAAAATGCTCCCAAATTTTTTATTTACTTTTTTTTTTTTTTGAGTATGCATTTAAAAATGAATTACCATTTTCCTTCAATACTCTGAATTTTCAAAAACTGTAAATGTTACAAATAATGTGAGAAAGTATGCATTGTTGTAGCACCCCTAGTTTATTTTGCATTTCTTTCTTCATTTTCTTTTTTGGTGCATGCAATTTACCATGCATAAATGCATTGTAAATTTAGTGTGCTCTGGGTAATTTTCATTGAGAAGAGATCCTCCTCTCTTAATTGTTTACCTGTGATCTGTTAATTCTATTCCTTTATTTGCCAAAATGTATAATCTGTTTGCATCTTTTTACTGTTCTGATATTTAAATTTTTCTTTCTTAACATTTTTATTTTTACCAAGTACATTTTTCAATAATAAATGTTTGATGTAGCCAGGTATATTTTTATTGAAAGTCTCTTTGTAGGTAATACTACTAGTGTCTTCTTATGCTATTTCTTTTCGATTTTTATCCTTTGACCATGTAGGTAAATTTGTAAGTTGGCAATTCATGGATGTGTTAGATTTGTTTGTTTTCTTGCATTGAAGTAAAAATTTGATCTGTAACCATTTTTTTGGACTGGGTATAACCTATTTTGGAGGCAGCTTTTTAATTTTAATTTTTGAAATATTTTGTAATGGTTTTCAAATTTCTATTTTTGAATAAATCTAATTTAATAGAACAGTGTATTTGATGTGACAACTTCCTTATTTTCAAAACATTTTTACCCCATTGTAAAATAATGGTGTTTATTTTGGTGTTTCTGTTTGTCATGCAACTTTGTGTTGATACGACATAGTTGTTTATTTCTTATTTAAATCATTCAGGAAAGCAATTAAGATGGAAAAATTGTTTGTATGTCAAATCATAATGCAAATGTACACATCGATAATATATTTGATTTTGCAATGCAAGTGTTATAGTGAAAAATGATCTTGGAAAATTGGGAAATAACTGTAATTTGTGAGAAGATTTTTACATCTGATGATGAGTTGGAAATGTGTCCTGATTTCAAAAGAGTTTGGGAAGACTCTTTCTCAATGATTATTTGTTTAATGTGACTGTTCTTTCAATAATGTTTTTAAACGTGCAATTCTGTGCTTAGAATATACTGATTTATACAGTAACACTCCCTGCTTGAAGTATATGCTGTAAGATATATTTTTCTGTACAATTTCTAACTTCTGCCTGCATTATTTTAAAGAAGCATGTGCTGCAATATTAAGATAAAATGTAAATTGGTACATTTTAAAATATGTACTCACAGTAGTATTCTGAATGTGAAATTTATTTTATACTTATGTATGGACTATGAACATGTTTGTGATTTGAATATCCCTTGCAGATGTTCTGCGATGCCAAAATTTAATTCATAAAGCTTGAACTTTTTTGAGATATGTGTTATTTATAACTTCTAAATTGTTTTTTTTAATCAACCAAAAACTGCATTTCTGATTGCTATTCAATAATAAAGGAATTATAAGTATTAGGGACAGATCCTAACTAATGGAAGGAATATATTTTTTGTTAGTTTTGTTTATTTTCTTAGCTTGCGCTAATGATTAAGCATATCTAATTCCAATCTAGCCTATTTCATTTTATTTTGTGTTATTTATTGAACTATAGTTTAATACATTTCAAAGTTGACATGTATTCAAGAAGTAGAACATTCAAAATTTTCTTCTAAGTATTTGGAATGGGTGTGCACAGGAGATTATTTACTCTTGTGAAGCTGTTCCTGCAATTGTGCTTGCTTAGGCTCAGGTAAATTCCCAGAGTTTGAAGTTGAGGTGCTTTGGTGCCAGACTTTTTAAGAAACATTCAGTAGTGAGTTCAGTTATTTTTCATGACTCAGGGGCTTTCAGTATTTGATGATAGTAATATGTTTTTTTTAATGAATTTTGCATTTGTGTGGAATGTATGTTTCTTAAGGAATTTTCTTAATTAGTTTGCATATGGGTGCGATTGCTAACTGCATCCTTTTTCTCCAGAGTAGTATGTGAAAAGTAGAACTTTGATGTTTCATCAAAGTTTATATTAGTATGTTAAGTATAACAATGTTTTGTAAAAGTAATTTGAATATGTGAATTGTGGTATCCTTTGCTGTTTCTATGATTGGTGTTTGGAATATTCATCTTCTTCCAAATCTGTGAAAGTAATATATATTTTGATGTTGTAGCAGTCTTATTTCCTTAGTAATTCATAATTTTACTTTAGAAACCCGATTTCTCCCTCTTATTACATTTTCATTTTCTTTTTAAGGAATCATTATTTTTTACTTCTTTATATACTCCAACTGTATAGTATAATGAATTGTAAAGCTACAGGAAAAAGCTATTTTTTACCTTCACCCTTACCAATTACACAATATACAGAAAGTATTATTATGTTGCGGAAAAAACGACGAATTTTCGGTAGAATTCGTTATTCTCGGGCCCATGTAACGAAATCTTGTTCCTATTTGTAGTAAATTTCATCTGACACACTGTAGAGTCAAAATCCACGTTTGCTGGGAATCAATGCAAGTATGCGCTGAACCAGCACATACTTGCATTGTTTGTTACTACTCGGCAATTTTATATTACTACATGAACCTGCAAGTGTTTTTCAACCATCAACCTTTTTTACGCACCGCGACTCGAACCGCACTGCTGGACTTCGAGTTCACTCGCCGTGCACCTTACCGTGTCAACTTGGGCCGACGCTTAAAAATCTAATTCTCACCACCCATTATTTCCAACTAGTAATTTACGAAAATCAGACTACCATTCTTTTAAGCATTCCTTGTTTTATCCGCGGAAAAAATGAAAGAAAAAATCTGAGCTATTTTTGAGATTTTTTTTTATAATTTCCATTAATTCCAAGCAGAGATTACGTGAAAACTACTCGTTTTTTCAAAAAAATGTACATGTCCCTTTTTAAAGAACATTTTGCTTAAGAGAAAATCTATATCTTCTATTTTGTAGTTTAGAAATGTTAAATTCTTGCAATTTTCGAACACAGAGTTCGCCGTAAAGGAGGCCCTTTTTGCATATGAGGAAAAAAATTAAAGAACAAATTTTGAGCGGATTTTGAGAAAATATTTTTATTGCATTATTTTCAAGTACAAATTATGCAAAAACAAATGTTTTCTAAAACTTATACGCGATCTTTTTTAAGGAGATGATTTTCTTAGACCAGATTTTATGTAAGACAAAAACCTTTTATCTTCAATTTTATGCTGCGCGCTGCGTTTTGAAATGCCAAACACACACCTATAAAAAGTTTTACCCAAGTCACATAACGCCGGAAATCGTGTATCAAACTTTTGGACCTAAAAGGGACTAACACCCTTACTTGCTAATTGCGAAATTTTTAACACCATCGTTTTGCCCAACTTTTAAAAAGTGTTGCTCAAGTCGCACAAAGCTGGAAATGGCAAATCAAATTTTTGTAAATTTTGAACATGCCATCGTTTTGCCCACGATAACCTCAAGTTCAAGAGCCATTAAAAAGTTTAGCCCAAATCACCCAAACAGGAAATCACATATCAAGGTACATGTTGTTGCAGTCAGGAATTTTCTGCGAGACATCATGTCATTGGCATTTGTTTTATAAATGATATGAGCATTCATTGCTCCAATGTTCATCAAAATGAAAAAAATTGTGAGGGGCCAACGTCTGCTTATTCTTGAAATAGAATATTCTGATTTGAGGCGACCAACAACGTCTACACCTCCTTTGGTAAGGTTGTAAAACGTTATTACCTCTCGTTTATTTTGGTCTCCAGATTCCGGATTAATCACATCATCACCATGTATGGTAGAAATCATCAAATCATTTCTGTTCTTCTTAGGAACATACGAGCAAAGAATACTCCGATTTTATGGTTTCTGTCCAAAGCAAATATACTACTGTGCATTAGCCTACCTTTTAATGATGCAAGTTCTGGAGAGATTTCTCGTTTATTCTTTTGAAGAGTTCCTACAACTGTCAGTCAATTATTCATATATAAAGTATTAGCATGCATTACTGAAGAGAAATAATTGTCCATTGTCACATTTCTTCCTGTGTTGTCAATGGGACGAATCAATCTCAAAACTACACTGCTGGCATCATTGGAAATTGATATGGTCCTTCAGGTTATTTTCCAGAATATTTTTCCATATTGACCGTGTAAAACGTTCTTGCATCACAAAGTGTATATATCTTTATCCCATACTTAGCAGGCTTTTTCGGGATGTACTGCCTGAATTTGCATCGTCCTTTAAATGCTTCTAGCATTTCCTCAACAGTGGTGTATGCACTTGGACTGTAGCTACTTATGCAAGCATTTACAAACCGGTTAAATATTTCTCTTATTGGGGCCAAATTGTCTTCCTTCTTTCTTAGCGCCCTTGTTAGTTTATCATCGAATCTAATTGATTGCAAAAGAGTGTAAAATCTTGGTTGCTGTAAAATCTTACTGCGATAAAAAAAATTCAGGTGCAGTTCCGTCAGTGGCCCACAGATCATCTGCATTTCGGTGTTGCGCCATTTTTGCCCCCGCAGAAGACACAGAACTCTTCTCTCACAGACATTTCTTCAAAATTCGTTTCGCGGACAGTCCCGTGAATTTCGTGAATATGAAGATCTGATTCGATCTAATTCTACGTTAGTGTACGCAACAATATTAGAGATGGTAGTATCAGTAAAGAACACTTTCCAACCATCTAGAACAGTTTTCAAGTTTCTGCACCCACGTTTCACAGCTGGCAGATGCGTCACAATATTCTGTCGTATCTTCTTTGTTGAAGGCATTCTGTGTTTCAAAGAAGAGAGAGAATGTTGATCCACCTTTACCCAGGTAAGTTTCGCGATTTACTCGTTGAGTTGCAGGTCCCAAAACGCTCTCAGAATCACTGTCATCTGACTGCTCTATTTCGGTATCAAGATCTTCCTGCTCGGGTTCACCGTCTGTGTCAGAATTCATCTCAATCAAAACGTTTTGATCTTCCTCTTCTTCTAACCACATTAATATTTTCTCTTCCGCCATACGCTTTTCTGTGAAAAACAAAATATAACAAACGGAAACTACCGCAAAAGTGTACAGAAATATATATTTGCTAAATCTATGAATCATACCTTTGATACAAGGAATACTAAAAAAGAACACAACAAAGATGAATCCTAAAACTTTTCTGATCTTCACGCAAGCACGAAACGAGCAAGACAGAATGAAACACCGGGAGAGAATTCCAAACAGTCGCTTCGATAATGATGTCGCAATATAACGCGGTTGCTCGCGTGTGAGAAATTATCTCACAGGACGCGCTGCGTTAATCAGCGCCATGACAGATTGATTCCTTTCGCAGAACTGATAAGAACGACGATCGGATGGAGAGCTGAGTCATGGGAGAAAGCATTGCTATAGCGTTATCTCCCTGTGTTGAAAAATGTTGTTGGTACTAACGTAAATGAAGAAATGTGAGATTTTTCTCACAGCGCGATCAACGGCAGTTTAAAGTCGTGGTAACTAAGTAATTCCTAGATATTTTAGGATCCCCTGTCTTCCCTAGACTTCCCCACGGGACAAAGACGTTCCTTTCCTGCATTTACTACCAGCAATGCTAAATTGCTCCATCGTAATTTACAAATTGTGTGTAGAGTTAATATAGCTGCTGAGAGCAATTAACGAGATAGTCAGTAGATCGCCTCCAGACTTGATCCCCAGGGTGTTGAGGGCATTGACTGTGGATCTTGGCATAGCCCAGAGGTTCCAACCACCACTGGCAGAACACTGGCATTGGGCACTCCATGAAGTCAGTGGAATGACTTTTTTGGTATATTACCACTTTTTCCTCCCCTGCTTTCAGAAGGCTGGACCCATCCTCGTGGCTGACAGCCACATCGACTAATTGTTTTCTATTTCTCAAGTAGGTACACCATGATTAGATTAAAAAGGAGAGGGGACAGGGTGTTCACCTGTTTTACTCCTCTACGAATTGACACCTCAATTCCTTTCGAGGGGTGCTGAATGGCGGTGGAAACGTCGGTGTAAGAGTCCATTATCAAATTGTAAAGCGTCAGGAATCCCTTTCCTGAACAGAGCTTATCGAATCGCCACGTGAGGAAGTGACAAATGCTTTCGCTATATCTGGCACAGCTCCGACTCCACCCTCTGCCTTTTTCATGTCACAGAATGCTTCGTGGGGAATTTGAATATTAGCGAAACAGCCAGGTTCAGGGATAAACCCTTTCTGGCGTGGATTGAACTTCACCACGGATCGAATGCGTATGTCCATAATGCCCCAAAAGATTCTGCACAGCAGAGAACTAATTGTGATGGGGCGATATTTAGTAACAAACTTATAATCGTTACCCTTATCTTTTAGTATAAGGGTGGTGCTATTAGCATTCGACCCAGAATGCATAAAGTCACTGTATAAAATTTGTGTGTACAAACCGAATAGGGACAATATTTAAATCTTTGCTCCTGAAGATATGTGGCTAACTTTTATCTTATGTGGCCCTTGAGCCGAGGCATTTTTTATTCCAGCCAGACGACTTTTAATTTCGGCAACATGCACCGCGTATAGAATAGTGTCTGGGTTCTAATTGTGTCTGCGTTGACAATTAATCACTCTTTTAATTCGGAACGCCTAATCGGGAGCGTGTTGTCACAAATGGATTTGTACAACTCATTAACCTCATCTCTGTTAAGGAGCTGGTGATCTACACTAGTACTGTCAATGCCCGTTCTAATGCACTTCGCCTAAAGCGCTGGATCATTCTTGAAAAGGCCCTGCGCCCTAGCATAAGAGTAGCGCTTCCTAGCGCGATTGCCTCCATGTCTACGTCTTTTAGACCTAACGGTTGTGGGTACAGAGGAACCGCCCGAAATCTCCCCTAACTTGGCATAGGCATCGTTCAATTGGTCCTGGGATTGAATATTTATTTTGAGTTTATTTCCCACCTCAACGAGCTCTTGATCTGCATTCGTTTGAGAAGTACCCCAGGTTCCTATCCAAGTTGAAATGCTTTCCTTCTAGTTAAGCTTGGCATCTGATGTGGCTCTGTTAAGATAAGTTTCAGTATTTACGTCTCCGGACGTCATAGCAGCCGAGGAATCAGAAAAAGTTTGGTCCCGTCCTAAGCAGCCAGCGGTGTCGGAACGGACCATGTCAATAGCAGATAAAACAGAATCAAAGAGGACGGGCACCGACGAAAGCTCCTGATTCATCTCTGAAACTATAGCGGCCTCCTCGTTAAGGGATCATTCTCAATCTGCTTCCGGGGAGGCAATATCTACTATTGCAAGTTCCTCATGTCCACTGCACATGCACCAAGTTTTTGGAAGGGAATCGGTACAAGGCTGTTTGCTTATCTCGACCTGTAAAGACGTTTCCACCCCTCTTTGGACAAGTGTCAGAGCAGAGGATAATCGACTTTCTTCCTGTCCTAATGAAAGGCCTTCGATACAGGGGAAGAAAAGAAATCAGCATAGCGATTTGGCTTACTGGAGTCTTCAGAAGGCTAATGACCTTGCGAGGTGATGCGATAACAGCAGCACTAGCAACAGCAGTATAGTTGAATCATCGGACCTCCGACCATCAGATGGAGACGATGATGTTTCTGCAGTCACGGTAGCTTCAGCTCCAATGGCTGCTAAATATATTCGATATGTAGGCTCTTTTCTCTTCTCACCGACCTGTCGGGCGTTTTTACCCAGTAGAGCAGCCATTTTCGCGTTCGACGCCTCTGGTTGCTCTTTCTCCAATGCAGCCGTTTTCATAATTTCCTCAGAAGAGAAGACTTTTCCTTCTCTAGGCGCAGCAGCCCTACCACTACGTTGCGCCTTGGCAGCTTGAGCCCTATTAGCTATGTCTGGATGAGCATGGCGCAAATGTTGTGAGAGCCCTGATTTGGTTGCGAAGTTAAAGGAACATAACTCGCATATAAAGTCTCCTTTAGATTCTTTCAGACTTGAGCACTTAGGGAAACGGCTCAAAGCTAATAGCTTACCTTTGTAATTCTTGCTGAATTTGGAGCATAAAAAGGTTAGAGGGACTTCGCTATGGATAGTATCGTGATGCCGAACCATGTAATTAATATCAGTGGGCATGTAGCCACCTCCGCCTTTCTGGGCACAATGTGCGCAGCGACTCGCCTCGAATAGAATCCTAATCATGAACCGTTCCAAGCTAGGGTTGTCATAAATTGTGGCCTGTTGTTCGCTGGGCCCGCCGTTATTCGCTCCCGCGTCCGAGACTTCGTCCTTAGAGTCCGCTGCCAGTCACTCCGAGGAGCACGATGGGGCCGAGAGCTGCAGAGACTCAAACCCCTTCCCCCGTGAAGTGGGGTCCCCGAGATGGTTTTTCTGTTAGGGATTTTCTTCCCTTAACTAGATGCTACGGTTTTAAGGCACTGAAGACTTGTCTATCGCCCATCCCTCTTGGCTGCACCTCAAGTTGCCCAGAGATGCATTACCAGGGGCCACCGCGCGGAGGTGAGAGAGTGGACTTGTCGGCCAAGCAACGGCTAACCCATTACAGGCAGCTATTACGGACATACGGTTGCGACCCCATTGCAGGAGGGCTTCTCAGTACTTACTGGTGTAGGTTTACTAGCATCGCCTCCACCACCAAGACCCTGGGCGACATCGGACCCCTATTGCGGATTATACGAGGAAGTAATTTACTGCATATTGGGACAAAATGCTCACTCGTTTGGTACCAGATCCCCATAATACGAGTTTTTCTGTTGAAAGTTCGCCGATGTTTGCCGCAACAGTACAATATCTTCTCTTTTCTACGTAAGAACGTAGTAATGCGAAAAAAGGAGTGTTAATGAAAATCGTACTTATTCCATATTTATAAGTTCACTTTGCTCTATCCGAGCGGGAAAATTTGGAGCTTTTTTTGAGAAAATTTCGAAAATGACCGAGGCGCTTTATGTAAGGTGACCATCTGTTCAGTTTTTTTCTCTGCAGATGGCATCTGAAAAATATTTGTCCCGATTTAGCCCGAATTTAACATTTATTTCATGGCTCTTCCCTACAATTGGGTAGAGTTAAATCAAACACTTTCATGGGATGACACTGATAGGACTTCCTACCTTGTTATGAAAACTCTGTTGTGCTTTCATTTCACAGAGAAAGAATTGTATGATGGGTATAAAAATGCAAATATTTGTTATTGACGTCAAGTGACAGCAAAACCCTAAGGAAGACGATTTGCTACTCACGTGTTACGTTATGAAACTGTGGGCTCTTTTTATATTCATGGTACGTGGTTTTTATATACGTGAAAAGAACAGTTGTACAATGCATCTTTATATACTATGCTAATGCTATTGCAGTATTCGGAGGACTGTTTTCGTTAACATTTTTAATTTATTGTAGTGTTAAATACAATTTTTTTATCCGTTGCTATGAAGTAGGGTGCATAACACTTTTTGGAAAACCATTTGTTGGTGGTTTTTTCAGCAGCACTTTTGCTGCTGTAAGCCACTAGTTGAATTTATTTTTTTCATGAATAACCGGACCGTCCCTGTCTTACTAGTCACGCCCTCCAAGTAAAATAAGTAAAATGCTAATTTAAAAAATTATTGTAACAAATATTAATCAATATTTATACGCTATATATAATTATTAGAGCAGCTGGGCGTAAACCAGAAGGCCCGGGTTCGAGTTTCGGTCGGGGCAACCAATTCTTTGACCAAATTTAATTAATATTTATACGATTATGGTAGTAAAATTTTCTCTAAATGCATCCAATTTCTTAGTCATTTTATGGATTATGACTGTATCATTGTATAATGACAATTAAGTAGTTTAATTATCATTATTTATTCAATCCTGCAAAAAATCACTTTGTTTCGAAAATGAAAAAGACAATCGGCAATTTCCATGTAAATAATATTTTCCTATGGGGAAGTGAAGATTTAATTTTGTTTGTGCTTTAATTTTATTCGGCTTTCAAAAATCAATTTTTCTACTTCACTATTTCAAATGTACTGGCGCCACTATCTTTCACCAAAATGAGCAACGCGAGGCGGTACTAACACAGGTGGGCGTGGAGCGTCGCAAAACGAATGTAGCTACGTAAGCAATTTTGTATTATCACACCTCCAGCTAAGCGGAACGCAAAGGAAAGTTGAAGGAAGTGATGTGTACACGCGGATGATGTAAACACAGTTATCTCATTGATTATACGATGTTGCTTCGTGGCATTTTGCAAGTCGGAAGGTAGCGGTGTTGTTCAGAGGGTACTTTGCCCGTTTGTAATTAATTGTATAACCGGCGCGGGTTTTCCGATGGCTTCTGATTGTAAAAGTACCGGCGACGGGAAAGTGGCCCTAATTACTGGCATTACTGGCCAGGTAAGTGACTTCAATTCTCTAAAATTCATAAATTGACAAGTGCAGTACGTGTCAATGCATAACATAGCCAGAAAACATTGTTATGAATAAATATCTTTTAATGTTACAGGATGGGTCATATCTTGCCGAATTTCTTCTTGCCAAAGGTTACGAAGTTCATGGGATTATACGTCGAGCAAGCACATTCAACACCTCGAGAATTCAACATTTATACGCTGATCCCAATTCTCACAGACAAGACAAAATGAAACTTCACTATGGAGATATGACTGACAGTAGCTGTCTTGTAAAAATAATAAGTAATGTACGGCCTGCAGAAGTGTATAACTTGGCTGCACAGAGCCATGTCAAAGTGAGTGCATTGTACTAGATGTTACCTATCAGTTATTTGACCCTTGGACACTTAACTTTTGTTGCATAGTTATTAGAGTCAAATAATGTAGTTGCTGTCAGCTGAGAGTATCTCTGCTGACATCCTCTTGGAATTGCAGTAAGAAATACTGTATGTCTTATATTATTTTTGTTATCAGTTGTTTGAGTACTACTTGGACAGTTGTCTTGTGTGAAATAAAGGGATTTGAGAATTTCTTTGGGCGTTGATGCCATTTTTTCAATGCAAAAAATGGTCATTCAAAACAACCTAAAAATTAAAGCAGTTATATTTGTGGAACAACAGATTAAAATGAATTAACTTTACATTCATTAAATTAAGTTGGAAGCAAATTCATAATATTCTTTTAAACTTTCTTAACATACACTAAAGATATGGAAAATTGTGGAATATTAAGTTCATTTATGGAAAAAATGTAATTATCACATCAGAAAATGTTAAGTCCTGTGACATGAGTACTTCAAAATGCATTACATTTTGTCTAGGAATTACTAGGTTTTGATTTATTCCTCCCTTTGCTTGAGTTCCTTTTCCATATTTATTCAAAAGTGGTAGACAACGTTAATGCTTAATTATTATTCAGGATGCTTCTAATGTCTAGAAAAAACTTCACAGGAAAAGGCAAGATAGAATTGCTGCCAAAGATTAGCACTCATCAAAAGAAAGCATTTCTCTTTACTTATTCATGAGATCACTGTAACCTTTCACTCTTAAGCTGACCCGTCCCTCCCGTTTTGACTTTTCCTCCTTTTTCTCTGGGTTTCAGAAATGTACCATCCCTGCCACTCTTCCATGTTCCTCATTTGCTTTTGCTGCAATGTGACCCCTCCCAAACCTTGGCTGCCAGAGATGCTTTTTGGTGTCGAAGTACCACTTGTGCCAGTGGCGTAATGTTCAGGCCCGCAATGTGGGAGGGCTCGTGTAAAAGAGGGCCCATTTTTAGGGGATAATTTTATTATTTAAGGTAGTAACACTACTTGTGTTTGCTTTACACTTTTATAAAGTGGGTACGGATAAATGTTTGGCAGTTGGACTCGTACCTTTACTTCATGCCACAACATGCGTAAACATTCATACTTAAAGCGAGATTTGAACATGTGATCCTTTGAGCTGAGAACCTTCTGATGTTACAGCCTTAACGATCTAGGGTACCCAGGTTTGCACATTTCTCTTTACAATTACAATTTTTCTTCATTTTTTCAATTTTCCTTCCAGGAATTAGCAACAAATTACTAGCTGAAAAGTCACTTTTCATGTTTTATGTTTGGTATCACTGTTTTAATTTTTGTTAACTGTGATACTCAGAACTCATGTAATAGTGTAATGTGTGGCTCTGTTTTGATAAAAAACTAAAACTGTTTTTTTGGCAAGGACTTCAAATAACACTCTACCTTTGTAACATACTAGTACTCTCTTTTTTCAGATTACAGCAGGTTTTGATGATTGTGTTTTAAAGTATGAAAAGTTATAATAAGTATCTTGCTCTGTACTGCATGAAGCTAATGTTGGTGCAGGGAGAGTGGTTCTTGCGCTAACCTACTGTCGTCAAACATAAAGCAATTTCTTTAAGGGTGTGGAGTTGAAACTCACTTGATTGATCTAAATTTTGAAGGAAAATTTATTGACAGATTGTACAAAATTGTTTTATTTATCACCATTCTGTCAACTCTGACATAGTTTCTATTTTTTTTAGGTGTCCTTTGACCTAAGCGAATACACTGCAGAAGTTGATGCTTTAGGTACCCTAAGACTTCTTGATGCAATACGAACATGTAATCTTGAAAGACATGTCAAGTTCTACCAAGCTTCCACGTCTGAACTGTATGGAAAGGTCCTTGAAATTCCACAGAAGGAGACAACACCATTCTATCCAAGATCACCATACGGTGAGATGATAAATTCTGTATTGAAATATACTGGATGATTGTGAAAGAAGTAGATTCAATATTGGTATTTAGATATTCATTGTGAAGGACTATAAAGTTCTTGCAATAATACAAATAAAACAAAAGGCAAAAATATGTGAAAAAGTAGTTAAAGTTGACAAAATTCACATGAAATAATTTGTAAAGTTTTTAGATTAGTTTTGACCTTGCAATTAGCATGGGTCCAAAGTGACATGAATTAGCTTGGTACATCTGGGTTAAACAAGCTTTTTTAATTTTCTTACACAAGTCTAAAATTTTGAGAAATTAAGATAATGGCTTTGAGACTATTATTTTACCTTTTTGTAAGGCAAAAATTGAAATATTTTTTTGAAAAACATGTATTCAAATTTTAAACTCTTTATCAAACTATTGAGATCAAGATAGTAGCATAATATTGGCTTATTCAGAAACTAATTTACTTTTGAAATGATAAAATGAAACTATAAATTACATACCTTACAATAATAAAAATGTAGTAAGAAAATCAAGCAAATTAGAAGAGGACAAAGTGAAATGGAATATGAAAATATGTACATCCTACATGATCTTGGAAAACAATTTGGCACATATTCTTTAAATGTTCAAAGAATAAATGTTTATTGCAAATTTCATAAAATATTTTGTCATCATTATTTTATTTCGGTTCATGAGGTTGAAATGCCACTCTTCTGTTTTGGCGATATTTTGTTACTTAATCTGAAAAAAATTTGTAATTTAATTTTGCAGTTGCACATGTATGCAAAAGAAATAACAGAACATAATTTAAACAATTATCCAAAAAAAAAAAAGAGAGTAGTTGGTTTTTATTTTTATATACTCTCTTCCTGGAAGTAAGAGTGGTGAATTATTCACAAATTGATTTTTTTTCTACTTAGCTAAATGCCAATTAAGACAATTGAAGATAAACAACAATGAAATTAAATATTCCCCTCTAATAATCACTGAGGAATGGTATTCTGAACTTGTGAGATTTACGGATACTATACTAACAGAAGGGTGAAACACACAATATATTACTTGTTAAGAGCTTTCAACACCTTTATTATTGTTATTTGAATGAACAAACTATGCAAACTTTAATCCAAATGCCGAGAAACTAAATGTTAGAAAATAAAATTTTATGCTGAAAAGAAAGAGGTATACATTTAAGGTGATATAGAACTTGTTTATACGTAGTTCATTCTGTGCAGTGAATTCTGAGATAAAAGATTTAAAGTTATTTCTCAACATTATTGCTCAAATGATTCAGTGCACTTAGTAGATGATTTTGTAAGATCCATTAGATTCTAAGTTTTTAATGAATTCATGAAGTACTATTCCACGAAAAACAGCAAGAAAAGGGTTATTTTAACAAAAAAAGTTGTTGGTTTTCATCGATAAATGTGAAGGATGCAAGTTTGCGCGAAGTTTCATTATGAAATCATTTTAATTTAAGATCAATAATAATGACAAAAATACTACTAATAATAATAATATTGTTTCTATAATCGTGTTTTCTAATATTGTTCAAAATTCTTAAGTAATAAAAACAGTGAATTTTTTATAGAATTATAGAATTTAGAAAATTATAGAAATTTGGATAGAAAAAGTAATTTTTGTAATGTTATTGGAAGATGGAAAGATAGTGATAATGCCATGTAAAATGGAGCATTTAGTTCAAAAGAAAAGAAGATAATATTATTGCCTAGAAGATGTAGCTGCAGAAAAATGTATATTTTTAATATTAATGTTGATCTGTTAATTAAAGATTTCTTTCAAATTTTTGGGTGGAAGTCTATTGAATTAGTTTATTTAAAACTAATTCTTGGTATATTAAACGTTTGTGAAAAATAACACCTGTTGGAAATTGTAAGAAGTTACTAGCTTATTTATTTCAGTATATAAGTCAATTTTGCATCAAATTTAATTTTTAACTGTTAATTATGTGTGCTTAATGTAAATGGATGTTATTTTATTTGTGCCATTTTTGTTTTTTTTAGCATGCGCAAAATTGTATGGTTACTGGATAGTAGTAAACTACCGAGAAGCGTATAATATGTTTGCGTGCAATGGAATTTTATTTAATCATGAAAGCCCCAGAAGAGGAGAAAATTTTGTTACCAGAAAAATAACTCGCACTGTAGCTAAAATTGCTTTAGGCCAGGTAGATCATGTTGAGCTAGGTAACCTAGACTCAAAGAGAGATTGGGGACATGCAAGAGACTACGTGGAAGTAAGTTCTGCAATGAGCTAGAATATACTACATAGTGGCAGAAGCGCTTCCTTCTTTGCAGCAAATTTAAGCCAGGTTTTTTTCAGTCAAAGCGCTCTCTGGAGAAAGAGTAGTCTAGTATTCTGTTTGGTGCTAGTTACAGCTGGGTGGGGCTGGGCTGAACATTATATAAATCCTCTTACTGTGTTACACGACCAAAAAGCAATTATTTAAAAATGGAATGACAATATGTTAGGAGAATGATTTGAGAAACTTTAAATACATGTTGCTTCCTTTATCAATCATTGTCATAAGAATGGAAGCTGTTGAAATGATATTGTAGTTAGCATAATGCCTGAAAGTGAATGTTATTGCAATAAGAAGCAAACAAATGGATCACAAATCAGGCGGCAAACTTGAAAAATGATATGTTTGTGGTTTGATGACTTCTATTTTTACAGTTATATGCCAACATAGCAAAGGCATTGTGAATATTATTATTCTAACCACCAATATAATACAGATAAACAAAAAGACAACAATATAGAAATAAGATCTGATACAAACCACACCCATCATCAGGCATCTCTCTGTTTTTACTGCAAAAAAACATGCCAGCATCGGGCGTCTACCAAAAGCGCTGAAACCATAGGGTCAGCCACTCTATGTAGTACATTCTAACGTCTTGCTTTATTGCTACTTTGTTTCTATGATTATAAGTGTAAGGAGAGATACTAGAGATAATAGTTTTAAATGTGGGTTTCATTTTAATTTTGTTAAATAATAAATTTGCAATGTAAACTTAATTTCAAATGAAATACCATGCTTATTTCAAATTTACAAATTTGAGGGTTGTATCTTGCAGTATAATTAGTACAGTAATTAACAGTAAAACCAATAGTGCCTGTTAGCATTATTTTTACTTCAAATCAGAGAATTAAAATGTGATGACATTAAAACATTCCCACTCGGAGTAATTTATGAACTGTTAAATATGATGTACGTGATGAATAATCCTAATTACTTTTCATATACTTTTGACTTCTAAATTTCATCTTTCGTAGGCAATGTGGTTAATGTTACAACAAGAGGAACCAGAGGATTATGTTATTGCTACTGGTGAAACTCATAGTGTACGTGAATTTGTTGAGGCTGCCTTTCACCATATTGGAAAAGAAATCTTGTGGGAAGGCCAAGGCAAAGATGAAGTGGGTCGTGAGAAAGGAAGCGGTATCATTCGTGTGAAAATAAATCCAAAATTCTTTCGACCAACAGAAGTGGTAAGTCTTTATCAATGCAAATTTGCAAATTCATTTAATTCATTTTATTCAATTAATTCATGGAAACGTATTTTAATTCAAATTTAGTTTCAAGTTTTATTTTATTTTATATGTTGAGGGAGTTACTTTTAATCACTTGCTTTATAAACAAACAAATTAACAATAAGAGTAATTATTTGGATATTATGACGATGTGTTGGTTATTTAATTTTAATCAGTCCCCACACTTGGGGCAGCTAATTGTGATATCAATGCCTTGTTGATACGCCAGCTAGCTCAGATATCCTGCAGGATACCTTTTTTTAGTAGAATGGGATGAGGCGTAGTTCAAAATGAACACAAAACACTTGCCCAAATAGGAATTTAAACATAATTTTAATTCTTTAACTTCACAAAAAAAAAAAAAAAAAAATCATGAAACGTTACGAGCTCGTTACCTGAATAAATATTGAAATAAATTTGCATTACATGATCACGTTAGTTCAAAAGAAGTTAAAAGGCCAAAGCCCGTCCATGCCAAGTCATACATAAATCTTTAAATTATTCCCTGTCCTTTCTGGAGTAACCAAGAGTCCTATTTTATTTACCCAATTGGCTTGAAGAGCTTTTAAACCTTTGCGTGGTTTTGCCACGAAACTTTAGCGTTGTTTTCCTTGAGCGACTGGGTTGCTCCGTCGCGGCGACACGCGGGTGGTCGTTGGCTCGTCAGCTGCCTTCCGCTGTAGATGCTGGCTCGTTCCGCGTGGCCTTCCCACTAGGCCAGGCCGGGCCGGGGCGTCCCATTGACAGAAGCACAAAGGGCGCCTTCATTCTCTGATGGCGGTGCGTGGCGACGACAGTTCACATCACACGTAACGCCAATGGTCATTAACGCACTCTGTCCTCAAAATGATTGTGGCAGGTTCTGAACAATTCACGGTACTTCGCGAATGAACTGCAGTCTTAACTTGACGGTGGTGCGAGATAATTCACCTAGCTGTCGAAATCAACATTACTGGGTGACCGATCACAACTAACGCACCTAGCATTTCAACTTCATCATGTCCGTTAATGCACACAGACGTTCCATCGCGTCCCGAGCTTCGAACTTCGAAGACGATCTTTTCAAAAGTTCGTGATCACTTTACTAAACGAGATCTCTCACCTCGCCATCAACTCAAAAAGACGACCGGCTAGTGTCTTCCCGTGTGCGATCCGCCCAACTCTGCAGTCGTGTCCCATCTACCTCTCCTTGCTTTCCGCTTCTGCCCTCCCTTTCCAAGTCTCCTTGCCAAGTCTTATTCTTCCTATACTTTAGATAACGCGCTGTTAGTGGTCAAAACCAATTGCGCGTTTACGTTTTCTTGGCCAATCGCTGCAGGCGTCTCGTATGTTCCAGAGTGGACATTTTTCTTGGGCCCTCTCTGTCTCTACGAAAATGCTGGTGCAAGCCTCGAGCTCCGCATCCGAGTACTGAGTACGACGCAGGTGGGCCTGTTTATTTATCCAAGTCATAATTCTCATGCATCACAGTCGAGGGTTTGCCACGCCCGCCCAGAGCGTCGTGGTGGGTCGAGTGCGGGGTGAGAATGGAAGTGAGTTTGTACCATCGACACGTAAACAGAGGGAGCGGCGGGGTGCAGTAACGGGCACGCGTCTCGAATCTTCCCTTGCGCCGGAGGGGGGAGCCTTGGCTGTCCTCCGTACGGCGCGCTTTACACTCGAAGAACTATGCGTTTCCTAATGTTACGTAATGTTGTGATAAATTTAGCAAGAACTGCGTATAATTTCGTATTAAATAATCCCTCAATCTGTGTGCCGCCACAATATTTAATTTTGTGTGTACATAGACAGTTCTTATTTATATTTCAGGATCTCTTGTTGGGTGATCCCAGTAAAGCCCGTGAAAAATTTGGTTGGAAACCAAAGGTCACGTTTAAGGTAAGTGTCATGTTCATAAAAATGTTCCGTATACTTCTCGTGTATATAGAATGGAGAAAGTATTGTAAATTCCGTGGTGGTAGCAGATATCTTGTGGTAATCCATAATATGGTAAAGGAAATAATCGTCCACAAAGGTTTAATCATTTTATTATTTCCCAGAGTAAACTTTCGGGAAAACACTTTCTCCATCCTCAGTGGGTCTGTAGCAAGGAGAAAATTGAAACATTAGCATAAATTGAGCAAAAAGAAATACAGTGAGTTTTAAATAATAAATAAATAAAATTGAAAATATTTACTGCCCAAGCAACGTGGATCACTTACAAAGGTTCACAAATAAGTCGGAAAAATATGAAAACTGCAAAACATGCTGGTTACTGCCAGGTGGCAGCCATTGTTTGGAATGGAATAAGAGGAAGTCTACCAATTGTGGGAGGGGGGCAGGTGCGACCAAAAGAGTAGAAGAGGTAGTCATAAACAGATTTAAAATTGACTGCTTTTCATACAGGAATGTAAATACAGGACAGAAAATTAGGAATTTGCAAAATTCTAGAATTTTAAATTATAAAAAGGGGGTTTACATTACCATTTCATTGTTTATTGCCATCTGCAATATAAATGTCATTTTTTTCATTTGAATGATTCATTGGAGGTGGTGATCCTAATTGAATGGAAGAAGCTTTTGAGCCAATTGTGATGAATTTTTAAATTGATTGACCCCATTCTTCCAATAAAAATTTTGTCGTTTTCCACTGCACAATTACATAACTTTATCTTCGTACAAAGAATTTGTAAGGCAAGAAAGTAAAAAGTACTGCATTATTTTTAATTCCATAGTAAACAACAACGATAAAACTAACCAAATTTATTAATATAGGAAACCACGATAGAAGTTTAACTTTAAAATTGAATGCATCTAGCTATATAAGTTCTTACTTAGCTGATATGCAAGTTGCATAGTAATGCCCATTATTGACTGGAGTGTCATTATTCTCCTTATCCACTTTCACTATTCTCTCATTCATTTTTCTCTTGGTTCTTCTTTTCAATTTGTATTGCATGGTTTTTATATGAAGGAAAAGTAATTAATACATTTACCATAAATTTACTTGGTCGATTATTAATGCATTTTTTCAAATAACCATTTGAAGATTTTGTAAATTCCTGAAATCAGGTGTTGTTAATTTTTTTCGTTGTATCCTTGAATTCAAAGCTTGGTACAGCTTAGACTTTGAAACCCATTTTCTGTTTTTCCAAATCAGTAATATAATTTTATTTTTGGTATATATGTTGTTGAAGTAACAATTGTATCTTAATACATCTTTATTTGTAATTGTGTGTGTTGTTTTTTGCCGTATGGAAATTAACTCAGGCTGATGCTTAAAAATTGAATTGTCTCAACCCACTATTTTCATCTCACAATTTTTGAAAATTCAGTGAAAACAACAAAATGAGACTTCCACCATTGTTTTAAGGGACCCTTGTTTTATCCGTAAAAAATAGTTTTTAAAAACTGGTGGATTTTTTGAAAAAATATTGATAATTGGCGTTAACTTTAACCAGAAATTAAGTGTAAATGAGTATTTTTTCCAAAAATTATTCGTGGTCTTTTTTAATGAGCCGATTTGTTATGACATTTTGTCTTTTTCACACAAAAATCACAATCTTCAGTTTTGTAGTTTTGAAATGTAATTTTTTCTAATTTTTGTAAATGTGAAGTTTCCCGAAAACGGGACTAGCACATAATTTTTTACTGCCCTTTGATACATTCAGGGAGAAAAATAAAAGGAAAAATTTGGAACCGTTTTTTAAGAAAAATTTGAACTTTTGAAATTTCCGAAAAACAGGAATTTTGAGCTGAATTTTTCCTGATCCTTTGGTATCAACTATTGAGTGACATTTTACGTTGTCCATTGCATATATCTTTTTATTGTATTGTAATATTTGGTTTCCTCATTTCTCAAGTTCTTCAGTAGTGGTTCATTAAATAATATGGATATTAAGAAATTATGTGAGTAATGAAGAAGATAATGTTCTCTTTATTCCTAGATTTTAAAAATAATTTATGAAGCATTAGTGCAAAATTAAAGATTTAAATTTTTTGTTGAGATTTTGTTGTTGGTGTAAATGTATCGAGTTGAAACATTTTTGTTGTAGGAATTGGTGCAAGATATGATGGAGGCAGATCTGGAATTAATGAGGAAGAATCCTGGTGCCTGAAATTTTGCAATGCCTGACTAAATTAAATTTTTAAAATTCAATCATATTGCACTTGTTTTGCACGAAAAGGCCACAGAGGGATATTGATCTATGCAATAATAGTGCTTGGTATCAGAATTGTTTATAAATTCTGAAGAATATAAAAAATTAATCAAGATTGTGTAACTATTACGGAGAAGTGATGTTTGGTATGAAGTCTTTGTGTGAATTTATATCTCTTGCTGCAATTTGTGGTTAATACATTTTTATGATTCTGTCAAGACGGTGAGATGGTATGTTAGCAATTTGAATAATGTGTACTGTAGATTTTGAATGACTTGCAAAACAAAGGATTGTTAAATGAAAAATTTGTGTATTATGCTCAATTTTTGCTACTTCTATATGCATAATTAATTTGCACAGTAGTTTGAAATTTAAACATTATTTTATCACGTGTGTTATTGAGGGTGTATTCTACACATTTTTAAGAAATATTGCACTACGTGTTTGGACAGCTCATTGTTCTGTAATTGTCCAAAAGTGTGGGGTAAGCACAGAAGATTCCATTGGGCTGTGAAACATGACACTTGTGTTTTTTGAATGTAACAATGAACCCAGATTTGCTGGATTGTACATTCCATTAGATGTGTACGTTGAAAGTTCTTTTGGAGTAACTGAAATGTAAATGAAACAATTTTTAAAAATAATATATATATAACAAAGATTGTTATATTATATGATATATCCATGTTACCAAACATCCTCGAACATTAATTAGAGTTTCCTTAATTCATTTCATTGAAGTATGCCAGCCAGAATATTGCATTATAAAAAAACTTACTGTGTTGGTTAATGTGAATGTATTTCCCCTATTTTAAGATTCTTTTCTGCTCTTTTGAAAAATTGTGGAAATGACTGATGGTATGCTAAGGAAGATTATGAAGTACTCTCCTATGAAAACTATTGTGCCCTTGACATAGAGAGTAAAGGAAGACAGCATTGCTACTAACAAGACTCATTGATTTTGTCTGCCCCTTGGGAAAGCAATAACAAGCTTACAGGGGTTGCGATGAATCAGAAACATCATTTAATAAAGGTAACTTCATATTTGCAGATTCAAACTTCAAATTTACTCTGCACTAATGAGCAACTCCTGAATGATCATTTTCAAAATGCAACAGTTTTCAGGGAACTTCATCTGTTATCCAGAACGATTTAAACAAAGCTGTAAGAGGAGTTATGGTACATACAATTATAAAGGAGCATGCCTCTGCCATTTTTGTGGCCATTCTTCTAGACAAGCGTTCTGACATAATTTATAAATCATAGCTCTCATTTTGCGTTATGTGGTCAAATTGGTGAAGTTCAAAAAAGGTTCATTGGCTTTACAGACGTCAGTTCAGATATCTCTGCCGATGTGCTGTATAACCATATTGTCACAGCCGTGATTGATTTTCATGTAGGCGAGAAACTTGTTGCTCAGACCTATGAAGGTGTGACTGTAATGTCTGGCCATTTAGGAGGTCTTCAGGTTAATGGGAAAGAGGCGTTTCCACAGGCATTATTTGTGCATTGTTACTGTCACATTCTGAATTTAGTATTGCAGCAGGCAGCATTGACAAGAGTAGACTTTTCTTCCAAACTTAGTCCCGCCTCTCTAGTTTCTTTTTACATTCAATGAAGAGAATGGAAGCTTTACGTTCTTTTATGAACAGAAAGCCATCCAAACCGGCACCAACACCCTGGAACTTCAACTCCCGACCTGTGAACACTACAAGATCAACAGGAAATTTTAATATTCTTTGAGCATCTGAGGTAGCTTCTACAATTGCGTTATACTTAAAACAATGTTCAGAAATCGCCACTGATATTGTCATTAGAGCCATTATATATATTTGAGTATTGCGGCCGCCATCCTATATTTGTTTTTACAAAACCAAACGCGGCTGACCCATAGGTGAGGTGCATCAATCACCAACACTACCCTGATCTGAGTACGGGTGATTGTATACACAAAAAGAATAGTTAGGCCGACAACCACCAATGTATCTGCCCAATTTGTCACTTTGTAGGCTACACACATACGTTTTTCCACTATCTGCATCTCAGAGTTTGATGGTACGTACTCGAGATTTTGGAAATTGAACAAGCCCTCCTCTTGCCCAACGCCGTCTCTGCGTTGCGGAACACTATCTTGGTGTTGCCGTGCGAAAGAGATGACACATTCCTCAGAATGTTTACACACTTCAGCCGGCTCAGGCTGAGCGGTCACGTATCACGTATTTTTTATACACACACATATATTACATGAACTGTCATGACTGTTTAATAGTTTTTTGAAATTATATAGTTTTGTCTGCACAAAAACAAAAAGGAACTTCAAGATCAGAATATTGGGCAATAGTCTCGTGTCTGTTTCTAAACTCTGAATTTATTGTTCCGGCAGCAAGTAGTTTCCATTTCTGTAATGTGGGGCCTAGCAGATTCTTTTTTTGACAAATTCAGGTCCCGTGCCAAATCATTTACGTCTTACTGCTCTTCTGTGTGCAGGCCAATATCAGACTTTCCTGGGTCTTTTGAAGTGGATGCTTCTGTCTCAGGGGAAAACACGGCTTCAGTTCCAGTACAGTTTTCTTCATGATTTATGAACATGTTTCCGGGGATACAGACACTGGTATTTCGTCATAGTGTGACACAACTCGCATGGCAGAAGAATTATGTGGACCATTCCACTCGTGAAATTAAAACCAGTAGTATTTAGCTATACATACAAAATGCCCCAATCAGGGCGGTGTATTTCAAAAAGTTTATTTCTTTTTCTATCCTATATTTCTTACCGCTTCTACCTAGTGGCCAATCATAAACTGTAACTCATCTTAGGATTCGTTATGCATCGATCGCAAGCTCGATGTCCAATAAATAATAATTTAACATAACTTCCGATTTTAACATACGCTTTCAGTTATTTTCAATATTTGGCGCATTTTGGAACTCCGTTTATACATAATTTCACTCGTGGAATAGTCCTTTTAAATGCCACTCGTGCTTTGGAAATGCTCTGATAAATCCCCCCTCGCTTCGCGAGTCAGGAATTTATCGACAATTTCCAAAGCACTCGTGGTATTACCTATGATAATTGATCTGAACAGGCCATATATGTTTATCATGAGGAAGTGGCAGTTTTCTCCACAACATTGCTATAGCGATGGACTATGATTTGAGTTTTCCATTCAACCACAACATAAGGTTCGTTGTACAGGTGACAATACTGTAGAGGAGCCCACGGTTTGTCCTGATCACAAACACGACAGCCAAAACGACAAAGTATAAAGAATACGTAAGTTTTGTAATGTCACATTTTTTTCCTTTGAAGTTTGGGTTTAAATCTTATACAATTGTAACAGAAGTTATCGGCTTGATTCGCACACTTATGATGGGAAAAGATGATTTGCATTTTATTGAACCGGTTCAATTCAACAGATCATGTGGTGAATTTAACTTTAATACATCACAGATCTCTGGGTTCTATAATGTATTTGAGGCACACGCGAACAAGACACGGCGCACTGCGGATACAACTCCGCATGATACCGGCTGACTCGCAACCTGCCACCCCAACAGTTGGATACTAGTATACTTGCGATAACGTAGGGGGATAAAATAATGCCTTTCGGTGACTGATACGCGGTAGGAATATGAAGGTGTACGTGACTTGTTTTCAAAACAACCATTAAGGCCTTCTAAGAGCATTAAGACGTACTCGTCGACGTAAGCGCGACTACCAGAAGCAGGGGTAAAGATGGCGATCTTCGAATACAGAAAAAAACAAACAACCGAAAGCCTAATTTTGTTGACATCTCATGAAATTGGCATAGATGAATTGAACAAATTTTTTTATTTTTAAATAGATTTTATGCGTATTGATTCTACATATCTTACAGGTGCAAAAGTAGTGGTACTTATTACAAAATTGATGGAAAAGATGCAGAAATTTTTACTTTTCACTCGTCAGATATCTTAAACTTTCATAAAATCACGGGAGCAGCTCCCACTAGAATAAACACAAATGACAGCAGGGAAAATAATCCGAATTTTCCCCCAAAGACTCCTCGAAAACTTGCTTTGACCCTAGGTACGCCAGTTTCCCCTACATAATAATCAGCAAACGTAATGTGACCTGACACATGTGCTTGCTCTGACAAATTAAATTCGCACTCATAACATCCTACCTAACCCACTAGTGCATGGCGTCCGATCAATCCGACTGCACATAATTACTTTGTATGTAATGTTTTTCAACATTTCGCTTTTATATTCATTGATAAACATGTTAAGAACTAATTTGACTCGAGTGTTTATAGGGAAAATATTTTAAAATCACTTGCAATATCAAATTATAGTAATCATGGGGAGTGTAAGTTACAGAATTATTACGTCAACATTGTAGAACTAACCACAAGACTTTTTATATTCAATAATAATTATACAGGATTTGCAAATAATAGGGAAAATACAGATTTGCTATACATTTATATTATTTTCAGCATTTCTTTGAAAGTAATTTTAACTTTGCTGAAGTTAAGTGTTGGTGATGGAAAGAAGGTTTTAGACGCTAGCTGTGGCCACACACAGACGGACAGTCACAGAAACAGACCTTTTACGTCAGTTGTTTTTTTGGTATCAAAGACCCACAAAACATAGATTTTGACTGTACAAAAATCACGGCGCACGATTACAATACTTTCTCTTCTTACGAAGTAAGACGACAAAGTAAAAATCTGTGTGTATTAATAACCCGGTCTATAATTTTTGTCTTCTTATTAAGAGTATTGGTTTTGTACACCACTCTTCTTTATTCTAAAACAGCGACAAAGTACTAATTAAACTTTTTATTTGTTTGTTTTCGGTATCCGAAGATTTTTTCATTACGCAAAAAGGTCCAGAATTTTTAAAACTTGCTATATTTCATTACACTTTATTTAATAGTTTAGTACATACCTTTTCTTCTTTGTTATTATGAAATGTAGTTTCAACAGCTGACCAATATATCTGTACCTGAGAAGTATAGGTCACTTACAGAATGCTAACTTTTGAACAAAAATTATTCCTTGCGATTTATTGGATTATTTATTTCCAACATGAATGCATTATTCTCCCTTATTGTTGTGTTTGGAGGGCTTCTCATACTATCTGGAGGGCATTACGCCCCTGAAATCTAATACCTAACAACTGAACTTCTGGGAGAGCTCTTGTCGGAGCAATTACACATATGTTGGTCATAGCGGCCATTTATTGACGGAGAAGGCGAACGTGTTCTAAATGCTGTTGCTAATACTGCTGTTTCAATTGTGCTTGCTGTTCAGATAAAATATCACTGTATACGTTGTTTCCTGGCACTGTTTAGCATGATGGCACATAAGTGCAATAAGTATATACAATTATCATCACAGTTTCTAAAACGACACATTTTTGTGTGCTAACACGCTTCATCTGGATACAACCTGGCACACTGCAATTTGCTTAACGACATTGACGTGCGTGTTTATTTTATACATCTTTGAATGGATAACTTTCTTGATTTTTCTGAATTTACATCTTACCGTTGAAATTGACCATCATCCCTACGTGCTGCAGTTGGAATTTCGTTGAGATAGGCATTTTTACAAAGCACGGCATACACTTAACAAAATCCGTAGACAGCGCGATGTAGCAGCAAGCGAAGCACAGTGGCATCCAAAATCGAAATGAAAAATAATTGGAATAGTATTTCTAAAGTCTTTGGATAAAATTGGGATATTCATTGAAGTACATTTTGAATTCATTTTTCAGTAATTTCAGTATCTTTAATGAATGAAGATTTTAGTCTCACATGACTCCTTTTTTTGTGTCCTAACTTTGCCATTTGCCAAGATAGGAAGTTTTTGTGTTTTGTTACAAACTAACATTACTTACAATTAATCAGATTAGAAGGAAGTTGTAAAGTATGATTATATATTTGTGTGGTTCAAACTTTACCACAGTTTATTTTCAAGGCACTTTTGATGGTAACAACGAATAAAACAGTTTATGAGCAGAACATGTAATTGATGCACATGGTGTTATATTATTTTGTATAGCCTTGAATCCACTTTTTTACAACTGGTATGCTGGTGTATATTCCGGGCGCAGATTTGGAGCATCCATATCCGAAGGAGGCAATACCTACCAATTTACTATTGGCCACCAATGGGCTTCCGGCATCTCCCTGAAAAAATAAGAGATAACTGAATGATTTAATAAATCACAATACAAAAACTTCATCAGGAAAGTATTCGCCAGTCACATGCATACTTACCACTTTACAGCAATGTGTATACAAGGCAGAATTAAAAATAAACATGAAATAATAGTAAGTATAGTATAGAATTTAAACATAATACAAGTCTCGGTTGTTTGATAGAAAACATCTGGCAAACTTTGTCCTTTGAAGTCACCATTCTTAATTAATGACATCAATGGAAAACTTCCAACAAAAACAGAGGTAACATTGGATATCCCGCAGGGAAAAGTGCTAGGGCCTCTTTTGTTTCTGGCTTATGTAAATGACATATGTGAAGGCGTTGAATCTACTATAAGTTTTATTTTGCGGACGATTCTATAATATACAGGAATGTTAGTGACTAGAAAGATGTCGAAACCTTTCAAAATGATCTAGATCGCTTAAAAAAATGATCATGGATAAATAACATGAAAATAAACCCAATGAAGTTCATAAGTATATTTTTTCTAGGTGTCGGCGAAGTGTAGCGACTTACAAATTAAGAAGTTTTTCGATTCCTATTGTTTCTAGCCACGGGTGCTTAGATATCCTTCTTCGCCGTGGCTTGAGTTGGGGAGGTCTTGGTAAATCACACCGTGAAAAAGTTATGGAGAGACCTATATTTTGCAATGCGAACTTTGGAGAAGGCCAATAATAATGTTATAACGCCGACATGCACTTCCCTTGTGCTCCCTATCTTAGAATATAAAGCGAATGCTGAGATCACTTCCGACAAGACCAAATTCACTAGCTAGACATAATTCAGAAAAGAGCCGCTAAATTCTCTAATACTATGTCTCACTGAAAAAGAATTAATGCCGCTTTCAAATCGCAGAAAAGTGACTAGACTTCGCGCTTTATATAAGGCGTATGTACGTTTCCCTGCGTGGAAAGAAATTCAGAGCACGCCACTGAAACCGACGTAAGCAGAGGGGATCATAATTTCAAAATTCGTACACTAATGCAGGAAACGCGGGGAAATTCTTTAGAAATCGAACAAGAAAGGACAGGAACAATTTACCTGCTGAGACATTTGGGACTAGCCGTCAAATTGTTTACACATTTAGAAAAAAAAATAGTCATGTAAAAAAAAATGTAATGCATTTGTGTTGCTCACTTTGTATTGTTTTCTTTTATGTTAATGTGACTTAAAGTAAAAATATTTGTCATATGTACATTGAAGTTCTTAGAAATCTATCACCGGGTGGTAAACTCTATAAGCAGATCAAATATCTAGCATACCTAATATCTAATTCTTCGTTATATTTTGAGAATGCTTTGCTCTTACATCCCCTCTTCAGATTGCTCGTGTATATCCCTTTCTGGATTTGGAGATGAAATGAGTGCGGTGTCGGAGGAAGTTCAAATTGTAAATGTCTTACTGCGAGCAAAACTTTTTTAAAAAAAATTGTTGCGTCTTTAATTGACGCAACGCGTCTCCAAGCCCCTTGGGTGCGTTGAGTGCTTTCGCAGTAATCCTCCATTAACATCAGCGCGGGAGTAATCCTCCATTAACATCAGCGCGGGAGTAATCCTCCATTAATATTTCAATATGTCGTATCCTTCACGTCTCGCCGCAGTCAGTTGTCAAGAGGACCGCCAAGTAGCATTTCCGCGTACGCGCCCCTGCGTCAGTACTCAGCGCTCAGAATTGGGAAGGAATTAGGATTGGGGTAGACTTTAGGACACTTTACACGGATTGGACTAGTGAAGCAGCCAAACTGGTTTTGTTGAAACTAATTCCACATGGGATTGTCCGGGATTCGACGGGAATCCTTGGTGAAAGGCGAGCGACTTCGCTCTGAGCCACCAGATGACTGTATTTCTGACTTACTAGATTTTTGATAAACACATCTTAATCATTCTGTAAGAGTGAAAGGATTCGTGCCTAATACATTACCTGACATTGTAGAACAGAGGAGAGACCGGCACACAACATTGAATCACCGATTTCGATGCCATATGAAGAAGCGCAGGTTTTGCTTGATACTAGGGGGGCACTCACGTGCCTGACCCAGGGATCCAGAAGCGACTGTGAAGAAAGAATTAAAGATGTTAGAAAATATTCTGTGCCAATGAAATTTCACCTAGACGTAAATAACGTCAATACGGCATGAGAATGATATTCCTGTTGCGTCCCCCAATACCCTTTTCCTAGAATTTATGTACTGATACACACGTAAACATTAGGGATCATTAAAATGAAATTTGATTCGTCTTGAAGTCACAAACAGATTAAAACTGGATTTTGTTTAAACATATTAAGGAAAATTAGACTAGACCTCAGATATAATATCAAATTTTATAAGTAAATCCCTATTTTACTCTTGAAGTGGACCCTCGAAGTTCAGGAAAGCGTTTCATCACTTATCGATATCAAGAAACCACTTTTATAGTGTCCTGAAATGGCTTTTAGGTCATCAGAGCCTGAAAATGCATAACACAATTCTGTAAACTCATAAAAATATATTTTCTGTGTAATTGAAACAGCGGGCAATAAAGCCTAGAAGTAAAGGAGAAAAATTGAAATAAGCTCGCTAGAGTTAAATAAAATCCGAGTTATTTTGGCTGCGTTCTCCGTCAAAGGAGGAAGCGAAAATTAATATCTTGTGTGTTATTCAAGCATTAAAATATGTAGTACACCCCCAATTGTTTTAGGCCCTATTTCTTTCAGTTGATTTCAAGAACCCTAGGTTCCCTTTATAAAATTCTTCCCTCTTCACTGAGATGAGACCCTTTTATTTTTGAAATATATCAGACACTTTCTGTAGTCCGCGGCATTTGAACTCAAGAGGTTGATTGATTATTCCGTATTTCCAGGCGCGTCAACGGCTATGGTCATTAGTCCCGTAAGTGCTGTGCATGCTTATCACGAAAGGTGGCTGTTAACTTTCCTCGCTGGACTGTGAGATTCAGCGCCGACCTACAGGTCAGCTTACGGATTTTCCCTAACCACGTATTTTCCACCAACAGATCACCGCCACAGCAGCTCCCAACATGTGTAGTAGAGTAGTGCGTGTAATTGCGTGAAATTAGGGCACGGAAACGAATTGCATCTGCTATTCGTATTGTGCTATAATAAAATATTGTTACATTTTTGTTTAATTGTTATTTAGTTCATTTCCAAACATACTGTGGTGTGTACTTGAGAAATATGAACTAAACTCGATTGTCGTTACGACATTGTTGGGGGATGGATCTGGGAAAGGCTTGCCTTCGGTGCCATATTACATAGTTACACCTAGAAGGAAGTAAACAATTGTTACCGTCTTTAGTGGCCATCCATAAGTTGCTGCGGTGCTCAGGAGGGGTTTGCTGCTGGCCATGCTGATGGTGGAGGAGAATTTCTTGCTTGATGTGATCTGTGGACAAAACATTATAAAATATAATTTTCATCGCGAATAGTTTCTTAGTAGAAAAGGGTACTTTGTTGATTTGTTCACTGGGTACGCACCCAAAAAGCATCCTCCTCTTATTTTGAAATTAAAGATGCTAACAATATTCTATGAGGGTCATTCGTATACACGATGGTTGGAAATTACCGTTGGCTTTACAATTTTATTTGAGTTGAAATATTAAACAAATTTTTACATTTTTAAAAATCGAAAGTGTTTAGGAGTCATAAAGTAGGACTTAGACAATTCAAATATTTGTTTCCTACATTCTCATTAAAATTACATTGCATCGTGAATGCGAAAATAAACAAATTATAAATGTAGTGCAGGATATAAAACCATTTATTAACCGAGAATTAGTAATTTTTGAAATCTGCTAATGTTTGTTTGGTCATAAATGAACTCAATCACAGATATCGCTTAATCAATTCATGTCGCGCTGAAGTTTCGTACTTCACCCAATCTTGCTAGTCACAGATTTTCAATTCAATTTGCTGTCTTGAATGAGAACTCAATAAAGGAATTCGCACAGCACAGTTTTTTTTATGAACATTGGGTTTCACTAATTATATTTTGCCAGTGAATCAGAAACATTATTATGTAACTTGTCACACAGTCTACAAGTGTTACGGAGGACTGCGCAGAGGACAGACAGAGGAGCCTGTTTTCGCCTAAGAGAACGACATTTTTTGTTGTGTTGTGGTAAAAGAACCGCCTTTCTCCCTATGCGGCCGGCCTACTGACTCACTCTCTATTCACGCGGGTGGCCACTGTTTCAGGCTGAGAGAGGTAAAGGAGAACTTACGGCCAATGATATTGCAGTAGGAGTCTCCAAAGAGTGTAACACAGAAATCATGAGTAAAAACAGTATTTTCTAGACAAAGAAGAGCATACTGCAGGGCTAAGCCAAAACACAAAATTGGGACGCCCGGCTCCTGGAAGTCTTCCAGTGACAATTAGGAGAGATTAGGTTTGACTACGTAATTACAAGGTATAGCGACTTCTGGTGGCTGGGATGCAGGCAATGCCAATCACCTCTGAATTTGGTATCAAAGGGATTTTTTCATTATATAGAACACGTTTTCATTTGTTTTATTAAAAAAGTGATGAAATTTCCACTGATACATATTTAAAAATAATTGTTTACTCTAAAATAGTCAATCAAGAAACAGTTATTGCTATAAAGTTAAAAACATGTATTTTTTATTTAGTGATGTTTCTTTTCGATATAATAATAATAATAATAATAATAATAGTAGTAATAACAACAACAACAATAATAATAATAATAATAATAATAATAATAATAATAATATGCCTTTATTGATGCATTATCATCCCAACGTTCCAATATTTTTTTTAACTGTTAGCATAATTATTTTTAAAGGTTAAAAGTATTTAAATTTCAGCTAATTAAGTATAAATACAGCGAAAAAGTACTATTAACTACATTTTTTACCTTGAAAAAACAATGGTTAATTTCATTACTCTGCCCTGTTGTATGATTATCTATACTACCACAAAGTCCAATTCTCGTTACTAATGCGTTTTCTGAAGAATAATGGTAATTTGGACTTAATTTTAGAGATTTGGAGGCCAGTTTTGTTGTAAAATTTAAAAATAAAAGTTTGAAGTCTAAGAGTTTTGTGCATGTTTTAAGAATATTCCCAGTGATACAGATGTTAGAAACATGTGATAATATGTTAACAATATGTGGAGATTTTATTTTATCTATTGGCATTTCAAACATTGTATGGCCATTTTAAACCTAGTATTGGCATTTTAAAATATATTAAATTTTATATCACACAGCTGTAAAATATCACGGGCACTACTTGGCAACTGGAGTTCAGGAATAATATTGTTTGAAGTAAGAACTATGTGATGCACAAACAAAAAATAATAATCACCTTGATAATGGCGACATCATAATCCAGGGTGCCCGGATGATAATCTGGGTGCACGATAATTTCTTCTACTTGATGTTTCCTGCCGCCAGTTGTACTGCTTGCCGTTCCTGATCGTAAAGAGAGATCCTCCTGATTCAACCTGGACATAAAACAGTAACAAACCATCGTATTACTCCATCGATAAAAATAATAAAATTATTAATTAATATCAAATATTTAACTATTTTAAAAGATGAACTTTTGTTTGTAAAGTGCTCTTTGGGATAGCTCATTATTTATGACGCTTGCTTCTGCTATGTATTACGGAAATAGCTTCATTCTCGAGTTTCGATTTTGGTTCTGATGCAGCATGATGTCTAAACAGAACCGTTTGATAACAAGAAGTTCGAGTACTTTCATGACCGGTAAGTATAAGTAGTTCTTTTAGTAAGGGAAATGTCAAGAGGGAAACACTTTCCTCTGAGAGTTCCCCACCAAGCCACCGTCTGGAAGAACGGCTTGTAGCATCTACTTCACGAAATGTATTGTCAGCCTCGTATGTGCCGCACGCTCGTAGTACTATTTCGATACTACATGCACAAGACATTACAAAATACCCCGAAGTATCTGTATCAGAAGAAAATCAACATACAATAAAGAGGGCAATCACGGCTTTTAAAATTACGACCGAGGACGTGCAAGCCGCCAACATCGCCATGTAGGAAGTGTTTAAGATTTGCTGTTTTTACTTACGAGTATGTCATCTACATCAGACCTGGTATGATGGTCAGACCCTACATGACCGAATTTCAAGAAGGGTAATGTTTGAACACATGATTGAAATAGTTCCTGTTAGCTACATTTGAAGGTTCCTTTTCGCTGAATTGAAGAATTTATTTATTTTACGCTAAAACAGATGCGACGTACTCTATGTTACGTACTACGTAGAGAAGTGTAATCTGAACACGTTTTCTTAATTCTAGGATCCCTACCCTAAACCATTTACAAGTTAAATTTTGAATACAGAAAGAAGTGAGCGTTTTGGCAAAAAGTGTTCACAAAATATTCGGTCCAATGTAATAAAATCTATTTCCAAGGGCCAAGCAGCAATAGATTTGGGTTCTTATCCCTCGTCATGTCCTTCGTGAAGGAATATACTTCTGCCGTGACGACATGGAGAGCGATAATTTGAATAACTATACTTCCCACTGAACTCTAGAAGACGCGCACAGATAATGAAGTTACATTTATGTCTAGATGCAAAACAAGGGTCATCTTAACATTTGCTCAAAGAATCAGGGCAACTGGATGAAATATCGAGAGAAGTATCATTGACCCAGAAGCTGAAGTAAAATATTAGTCACAGATTGTTTAGAATTATACAGTCCAAATGGTAAATAATACATTAAAGGTCATTGTTAAAATTAATATTAATTTCCTTTTTGATGTTCGGTAGAGTATCTAAATGTATAGAAACAGTTATGCAGCAGAAAATATTTTACTTGAAACTTAAACTTTTGTATAGATTTTAATAGTTTAATGTCATCTGGCAAAGTGTTGTAAGATAATGTACATGACGTGCGTGTGAATTTTTGCAGTGAGTTGTTGATACTGTAACTTGATGAATATGATTACTACGTCGAGTGTTATAGGTATAGACATTGGCGTTGGCTGAAAATATATTTCCGCCCTTGAGTAAGTCATTTTTGACAAAAAACACTGATTCTTAAATCAAGAGGCACGATAATAGTAAAATTCCTAGATTAATAAATATAGGCTTTCAAGAATTACGTGGGTGGATTTTGCCTATTATTCGTACAATTCTTTTTTGTAATCTAAACGTCAGAGAGCTATGCGTGGTCGTCTATTAATTACGTAACGCTGAAGAGGGGGTTGAGGCAGCGTTACGCTGCGTTACATATCAGTAGGGGGTCATAGTTTAGTGTTACGTGATGCTGATATTTGTTTTTAAAATCTTTCAACATCTGCTGATATAATTCCTTTTATTCAGTCTTATACAAAAACAAGACCACATTAACAAATTAAATTAAAAATATAATAAATGAAGGAACTTATATTCTAAAAATGGTTACAATAAATGAAAATATTTTCATCAATATTATAGGTATTGATTGAATCTTCTAGATTACGAGGAAAATATTCAAAACTGATCTATAGTATAATCTAGTATCCAATTAGTTGGCGCGGTAGACTCGGAGCCTATGAGTCATCGTCAGCATGTGCATGACTTGTCAGAAATTTTCTCGCTTACTCGTCCTTGTTCCAGAAACAATTGTCCCCAAACTTATTGTTAATCTCACGTTAATTAAAATAAATTTTAATGTATGACATAAATACAATTAATACTACTTGTTTCTGCTATATAATTGAGTTTTACTTATTACATTTGGGGGATGATGTCGCGTTGCGTGATTATAAAAGAGGGTTTCAAGTGTGCGCTTCAGGTGTTACAGGGGAAGAGAGGGGTTATTCAAAATACTCCAAATTTGCGTTACGTATTTTACGGACGGTCCCTAAGATATATTTCTCCTGAACATTCTCAGGCGGGAATGAACATTCGCGAAATGTACACAACGACCGGTGAGTAGGCTGGCTGAATTTGATCTAATTATGAATGCAAAGCGTAAAGACCTTAAAATTTTGTTACTTTGACATCAGTCAATTTCAATGGAGTACAGAATTTTTAATTCCAAATGGAAAACTGCACTGAAACCGTTTCTTTTTACTTACTATTAATTTGTTATAATGGAACCAGTTTGAAATATCTGATATTGTACTATTTACGGTTTCTTTATATTCTTAAAGTATATTCGCATCATCCGCAAAGAGAACTGTTATTCCGTTTCGAATCGTCGAAGGCATATCGTTTACGTACAGTAGGAAGAGAATGAGTCTTAAAGGGGATCTGTGCGGGACTCCACATGCAATTGGTAAAGAATCACCAATGTGTGTCCGTAATGTTCCATTATTCCAGCAAGGTATTTCTATTCTCTGAGATCGTCGTGTAAGGTACGAACATTACCAATATAGACCAATACCACGTATTCCATACGAAGATAATTTTGAAAGTAAAATGTTATGATTAATGACTTCAAAAGCTTTTGACAGAAAATACAAAATTTCTCCAAAATATGCTTCTTTTTCATTCATGGATGACGATTTTCTAAATCCAAGTTGGCAATCTGAAAACGCATCGGGTTTTTTGAGAAAGGTTTCCATTGCTACGTAAATCTTTAATATTTTTACGTATCTTTAATATTTTTGAAACACTGACAAAAGAGAAACTGGCTGATGATTTTGAATTTCATTTTGTTGCCTGTTTTGAAGAGCGGCTTAATCTTAGCTGTTTTGAAAATAACTGGAAAGGTTTCGATGCATTAGGGTGCATTAAAGATGTGAGTTAACGGGCGTATAATGATAGGTGGCCAAGTTTTAAACAAACAATCCGGAAATTCATCTAAACCGACTGAATATTTATTTTTTAGTTTACCGAATTTTATAGGTAAAGTTTAGGAAACGAAATCGTGTCTAAACTTTTTTGGGATACGTTTGCGATTTTTTGGGATAATTTTGTTTCTGAAAACCCATTGTGAGATCAGTAGCATTTCTCAAAAATATTGAAGAGACTAGTCACTGTTGCCGGATCGTTCACATATCTATCGATATTAAAACAAATTCTCTACAATGTTTGTAGTTGAAGTAGTCGTATTTTTTACTATATTCTACATTACTTTTGTTTTATTATTTGAGTTCAAAATACCCTGATTGCGTTTCGTGATTTTAGTCCGTATTATGACTTTTCTAAACAATTATTTGTTTTTTTTAAACTAGAGGTGGGACTCTTGAGATACATTTTTGTTTTGTTTATTTAAGGTCCTTAGAGACCACCAGAGTCATTAGAGTCAGTAACTGCAAGGTCATTAGAGACCATTATTTGAAAACATTAGGGGGTATCTGTGTACTAAATGAGGTGATGATGCGGGGTGAAAGGACGAGCACAAATACAACCATGCTCGAGGCGGGACTCGAACCCGCGATCATCACGGCACTATTGTCTTAGCAATTGCGGCCACCCGGATCGGGCTTGAGATACGTTACGATGATTAGAGTTGAAGAAAATGATTGAAGGGTTGGATGGAATAAGAGCTTAATAATTCAGAAAATACATTTTTGAGACAATCAAGAAAAACTGTGTACAAGCTGTATTTCTCATAGAAATTAAAAAAATACGTACACATCGCACGAAAAATAACACTAGGAACTGATTAGGCACACACAATGCACTAAAATGCTCAAATATGTGGATTTACTTTAATTTGAAAATTTTGAATTATGCCCTTATTCCATAGGACAAGTTAAATTAGATACAAATAGTTTTCTTTCATGAAAATCTACATGTATTTCTTAATTTCAGATGTACAGAATAATTTGCATTTTCATCCAGATTTATTAAGAATCATTAATTCTTGTTTTCGGAAAAGTTTTCCTTTTTCGTCGTTTTTTTTCATCTTCAACACTACGTTTATAAGCATCTGAAGATGTTATGATCGTCTTGAGGCTTAAACTTACTATTGTTCGATGAAAAAGCAGATCTATCGGACAAATTCACAACGTCTGTATTAATAGCCAACCTGTCGATGTTCTGGGAAACGGAATGAGAAACGAACTGGGAAACGAAATGATGCGAGATCATCGAGGTAATGATGTTACGAAAATAGGGCGCAATTCAGAATTTCAGAAGCCTCTCAAACGTCATCTATTGGGGTTAGCGCAGTACCATCTGGAGGGGTGGTAGAAATTCACCTGAACGTTTTACGGATAAACGCCATAATTCGAGTTACGCCCTTGTTCCAACCAACCCTTTAAATTGTTTGTTTTCACATGATGTTATCTTGTGAAATTGTGTTATCCAAGAAGAAGAAATAAATAAAATTAGAAATTGTTGAAAAGCGGCCTAAAATAAATTAAAAAAATAGAAATTCAAATTTAAATTAATTCTATAGAAGTATTGGTAACTATGCCCCAAATACAAATTAATGAAGTTTGAAACGGTCAAAACAACAGAATGTCCGCTTTCATTTAATAGATTACGTTTTTAAACTGCTCTTCTGTAAAATTTTATAAATGTTATATTGTACCCTTCATCTCCGAGATGCAGATATTTATTACTTGGTTTTTAGTTTTTATAAGTTTCGAATACTCACCCAATTACACAGCGGGCAGCTGTAACAGCATACCGTTTCGCAACCGCAGCAGCACTGCAGATGTGTTTGCCTTTGTATTCTAGAGATGCCTGTGAAAAGAAAAATAATTCATTTACTAATACGGTTCTAAGTATATTCCAACTATTTATATAAAAATTTAGATGCACAATTTTTTGAAAAATCAAGTAGTTTTCTTGAAATTTCTACTTGAAATTAATGCAATTGATAAAAAATACATTTTCCTATAAATAGCTACAAAGGTTTTCTTTCAATTTTTTCCACGGTTAAAGTAAGTAACGCTTACAAGAATGGCGCAGATCTCACTTTCGCTGAACTCTCTAAATTTTTAGAAATAGGGTGTTGGAAATATTGGGAGAGACGGTTAAATTTTGAAGCCTCGCCCAAAGGCGTATAGCAGAGCGCATACGTGGTGTAGCAGTGAAGCACCCGGTGAATTTACTCGCTGAACTTGAGTTCGAGTGCCGGCCCGGAAAAATCTTTTTTTTGCTTTTGAGAAACACTTTTGCAGGTTCATATAGTAGTATAATATTGCGGGGTCGTTACAAATAATGTCAGAAAGTATGTCCTGTTGTAGTACTAGTTCGGTATCAAGGACCCACATAGCATGGATTCTGATTATACAACGTGTTTGATGAAGTAATTTACTATACAAGGTGAGTCACATAACTTGAGCGCTTTCTATAATTTTTGAACGGTTGAAGTTATCGCAATGAAATTTTCACGTAAGTGCATGAGGAAATGGGGCTAACTGATGTATGTATTTATTTACATTTCATCATTTGTATTTTAAGAGATATTAAGGTAACTTTATTTATTTCAAATGGAACTATACGTATTTTAGTGTATCATTATGAGCGTAAAGAGACGAATCCAATGACATACATATTGTCATATATTAGATCAGCAATTTTTTTGAGTAATTTTGATCATTCGCGATTCATTTCCAACGGATATTGTAATGCCCCGAGCGCGTGTTTGTAGGGAGAGCGCTGTATGACTTTGGGTGGTGAACTGTTACATTCAAAATATCCGTTAAATACTACTCGCAAAAAAATCAAAATCATATACATATCATTCAATTCAAAAAATCAAAAACACAAAGTTCTCAATATCTCTTAAAATACAAATGATTAATGGAAACGAATACATACATCAATGAGCCTCATTTCCTCATACACTTCCGTAAAAACTGCAATTCAATAACTTCAATCGTTTAAAAAATCTGTATGCTGTATGTGCTGAAGTTACGTGACTCGCTCGTATATTGGAACAAGGTTTATCCACTTTTTCTTTACCAGGGCCCAACAAAAAAAATTGTTTACCAAACATTTGCCGTTCTCCGACTCATGATTACTACACTTTCTCTTCTTACGAAGCAAGCGCGAGAAGATAAAAAAGTAGTATCAGAGTGTTAAGGAAGTACTCTTTCAAGCATAGGCATTGTTTTTAAATTGAAAATCTTAAGATGAGGAGGCTTTAGGCCGAAATACATTTTGGTCCAAATTAGATTCCAGAATTTGGAAACAATTGAAAAAATACCCATATCTTTTCGAAAATCGAGAAAATAAACGAGAGGAACTAATCATTCTGTAAACAAATTTTTATTTCCCTAATTTTCATTCTAATAAAAAAAAATACTGATAAAAGTTGCCTGATGTGATAAGAGTATTGTAATGAACGCCATTGCCTTTAGAGTGTTGTATATTATTTTATAGAATTGCTGGAACATCAACTTGTTATATGGAAGTTTCTTACCAGAAATGGAGTTGTTGTTGATACAGTTGCAGGCAAACCTCTAACTTCTCCATCCAAGAGTATTCCACTTCTGCAATCTGCGAAGGCTGTGAACAATGTGACAAGTCATGAACACGTGTAGGGTATTGTGGATTTTTCTATTAATTCATTCAGTCAGTAAATAATGAATAATTTGAAAAATAAGTGAGGAAAACTCTAAATTTTCGGAATATCATGACAATACATTGAAGAGAAAAACATTGGTGCAGCCATGTGTATTGAAATAAAGAGATCTGGAACCAATTAGTATACTATGCTCCGGTCGGCAACGGCTATATAAGACAACCCGTCTTGTACAGTTGTTAGATCGGTTACTGCTGCTACAATGGCAGGTTATCACGATTTAAGTGAGTTTGACCGTGGTGTTGTAGTAAGCGCAAGAGAGATGGGGCATAGCATCTCCGACATCCAGTTATTTACCTCCAGCACTACTTGAGACATTAGTCGAGTCCATGCCACATCGTGTTGCGGCACTTCTGCGTGCTCGCTGGGGCTCTACATCATATTAAGCAGGTGTACCAGGCTCTTCAGTGTATTACAATAAACGCACTATTATTTCGATACTTCGTACGCTTATTGTTTACATGATGGAAATTATTATTGTAGTTTTAAAAAAAGAAGGTAAATGTTTCTACTTAAGAATGGAGGAAGAAAAAGAAAAGGAAGTAATATTTCCGTCGTGTAAAGAGTGCATCAAATATCGATGTCGGAACTTCAGGGATAGATTCTTTCTTCAGAGAAAAGAGAGAAGGTTTATGAAGATATGAACCCAGAAATGCTTATTTACTGAGGTATCACATTTACTAGCAGTCGAAGCCAGTGGCTGCATGAAGAGGGGTGCCATTCAAAACTATGCAATGGAAAATATCTCATTTACAACTAATAAATGTTAAGTGTCTATTGTTTGTACGTTTTGTAGCCTTCTTTTCCATGTTTTGTTATAAATGAATTTAGAACGATGAAATAAAAAACAAGATGTCAAGAAAACAAGAAAAGAAAAGTGTCAAAATTTATTTGACTGCGGCCGACAACCGTTAATAATTTTGCAGCGGTTGGTTTGCACATCGAATTGTAAAGGAAACAAAAAATGAATTTTATTACCCTTACAAAGAAGAAACATATTTTCCAACCATTTCGGTCACAATAGCATTCTTTTTTACAACATTTAGCTTTCAATATAATCAAATATTTTAAAATTAGATAAGTGATAATATGATATGTATTATTAAAGAAACGATAATTTTACGGATTTGCTTCAAAAGCAGTTGACATGTTTTCATTAAAGCGTGGACACTATATTTTGCAGAATAATTGGCACACTTTGGATTAATACTAGCATATTTAACTTTGGTAATATTTATTCACTTCTGCAAATCACCAAACGAAATATACTTCCATTTGGAACATGAGAAGAAGCCAAAATTGAGACAAAGATTGAGAGCAATCTCACCTGGCACCCGCTGTGACGTACCAGGGGGCAGAAACGTGTAGTAACACAACCGGCATTTAATTAGCAAACGCACGATTTGTGTGGCAAAATACAGTTGAAAATGCTACAATTACGTTAGTTATTTAGAGTCCAGCGATGAAACCATGCCATAATATATATATATATATATATATATATATATATATATATATATATATATATATATATAAGTTTGGATTGCTCGCATTAATAAAAAATCAGGTTACTCTGTAATTACATTTTTGGACCATATTCCAATCGACGTTTTTATACTCCCTCTATGAAAATTTCGTCCTGGATATTTTACCTTTGAGTTTTGTTACATACTGTATATTTAGACGCATTGATTGTTTCCTTAATATTACTTTCCCGCCTACTACGTACTTCCGTCCTAAAGAGAAAGTATTGTAATGCTGTAACGGAAAGCGGCGATTTTTTTACAGACAAACTTGCATTGTGATTCCCTGATATCGAAAGAGTGGGCAAACCTTATTAACTACTTAGCTGTCCGGGGTATGCCGCGTCTTAGGCCCAGTTGCCATCGTTTCGGCCGGCCGAGTGGCTTAGTTACTGACTCCGGCCGCGAACGCCTCAAATGATAAACCTTACTGATATAGTACGTAGTAAATTATATGTAACGTAATCACGTTGTATGGTCGGAATCCACGTTTTGTGAGTCCTTGATACCGAGAAATTGGCGGCGTTACTGCGTCATAGTACTTGATTTACTACGTTAATACGTAGTGTGGTTAGGAAGTAAAAACATGACCGGCTCCTTCATTGAGCCCCATTGGTATGCGAGTACGGAGTATCGAAAACCGTTCCTCTTTTGTTAGTAACAGTTGCGTTCACGCGTGTAGACTCAGGAAGGTGCACCCTGACTATTGGAAAACAGCTGACTAATGCGTCTCTGTTCTGTCGGTGCATGCTACCAAAGAGCTGAGATTCCATCAATGATCAATCTACACCCTCGTAATTTGAAGTGGAAGTTTAGCAATGCCATCTGTTCTCCGGTCCCGTCAGACGTTTCTGTGAGTACAAATGTATTTGCTCCAGTTCAAACAAGTTTGCAGTCAGATCGTTCCGGTGTGACGATATGATAATTCAATATTCCTTTAAAATTATACCAATTTAGATACAGCAAAGACTAAAGAAATTTAATCACGTTTTGCAAATATGTTGGGTTACAATAATCTTGATATCTGTTATCACGTTCGTCATAAAGCAGTTCATACTTTTGTCGATAAACGCAATTGATAAGCTATCGTTTACATTGCGCGTTATTTATCACAAATCAATACTTCAAATATATCAGATATCGGCTTGTTTGATCGCCACGTGCTTCAATCACGGCTCCTTTCTAATTGCTACTGAATCTTTCTTTTAAAAAAGATTTGTTGACCAAAATGATCATTTTGTTTCACCATTTCTGAAGTCGTAGATCTTGTTCAGTTGTTAAGTGTTACGTAACGGAAATGAAAACGTGAGTTTTCTAAAAGTGAATAATGGTTCATATTTATTCTTTCTTTTTAAATGTATCAAAAAACGTTTTCAAGAAGTAACAAATGGGTTTTGGAAGGGTGAAATACTCTGGCATTAAATAAATATTCAAAGTATTTTTGGTGCAGCAGAAAATGTACTTTTTAAAGGTTATATTTTAAAATGTATACAATGCATTTCAGTTTCAAATATTGCAAAAAAATACAAAAAGAGACTTTAATTGTATGTAAATTTCTGCTGTGATGGCGTTGGCTGTAACAATATGTATGATGAGTGTTGCACATCCTATATTATTTATGTGAATATTGAAATTGTAAGAAGGTACATGTAGGTTCTTTTTAAAAATGTTTATTTTACTGTCCTTCAAATGGAATCACATATCATGTAAAAAGTACTTTTTGCCGATAAGAGTGTATTATGCAGGCATGACTGTTATAGTTGAGGATTCAAAACAATTATTACTTAGAGCTTTTAGATTTTCCCTTATGCCAAAAAGTAAAATTCCTAATCGACGAACACAGATATAATTCATTTAAGCAATATTTAGCGCAAATTACCCCCGGCTCTCCTTCGCTATGGAATACTATCAAAAAGATAACCAAAGAACAATCTAGAATACCACCATTAAAATTGGGCACTAGTATTCTCTATAAAGATGACGAAAAAGCGGAGACGTTTGCTGTTCACTTTTCAAATACTTTTAAACCCAATCCAATAGTAAACCATGTGTTCAATGAGGAAATTTTAAACAGTATGAAGCAACCTATATACTTCGCAGATGTAAGAACAAAATTCATATTCCCCGCAGAACTGAAACGCACAATAAACAAACTTAAAAACAGAACAGCAGCTGGGAATGACCTAATAACTAGTCAGATATTAAAAGAATTACCGAATTCCACAATTGCAGCAATAACAGCAATATTAAATGCAGCTTTAAGACTGGGGTGTTACCCAAGCAATTGGAAAAATGCAATACTCATTCCAATAAACAAACCAAATAAATGTCTTCAACTACTAGATAACTAGAGGCCAATTAGTCTTTTACCTTCATTAGCTAAAGTGTTTGACAGACTGATTTTAGCACGGCTAAATAAATACTTATACGCTACAAACGCCATACCTAATGTCCAATTCGGCTTTAGAGCAAATCATTCGACTGAACACCAAATTTTAAGAGTTCCGGATTTGATCGCGAAGGGGTTTTAACGAGAAAAAATACACGGCAGCTCTGTTTTTAGACATTACTAAAGCGTTCGACCGCGTCTGGCATAGAGGACTAAAATACAAATTTCGCCACCTAGGCATCCCTAAATATCTTCAAGATATAATAGAAAGCTTCTTGCTAAACAGATCATTTAATATCAAAATACATAACACCACGTCGGCTAAATACAGAATCAGCCGGAGTTCCACAAGGTTCCCCACTCTCACCGACTTTATTCAAAATATACCTTGCCGATTTCCCGGAAGTAATGGATACCGAAATAGCCTTGTTCGCAGATGACACCGCCATCCTTTCACAACATGAAGAACTGGTTATTGCCCTGGCAAACCTACAAAAGGTTTTAAATATCTTAATTAAATGGACTGATAATGGAGAATCCAGATAAACCCAAATAAATCACAAGCCAAACTTTTCTCGCTTAAAAGATTCATAATCCCTCCTATGTTAACAATCAGTAACAATCCAGTTCTCTGGCTAAAAATAACCAACCCGTGAAATACTTATTAAATTAGATAGAAAACTAACATGGAAAAACCACATAACTGATATGGCTAACAAAACCTATGCAAAAATGATCAAACTTTACCCACTAATAAATAAAAACACTGCATTAAGATTAGAAAACGGAGTAACAATCTTTAAATCTATAATTCGTCCTTCGCTCACCTATGCCTGCTCAGTGTGGGGAGGCGCCGCAAACACGCATATTAACAAATTGGAAATTATTCAAAACAAATCTCTACGACTGGTCACCAAAGCTCCCTGGTTTATTCCTAACGCTAAAATTCAAAGAGAATTAAAGATTAGCTGCATTAAAGAGTACATAAGTAAACTGTCGAAAATTTTTTA